GCAGATTTTTTTTGGTATATAAATACCTCCTTTCATTTTTTTAGGTGCTGTCTATTCACATCACTTGTGCAATTCATGGATGCTTGCCCAGCTAACATTTCTAAGGTTGATAAAGGCCCTTTTGATCAGCAAAGGGTTATGAGACTTGTGGTGGAAAAAACTGTTGGGAAACCAAGGTAAATCCTCTACTTTTTACATCCTCTGTGTTAGTTGGCTGCTTTCCATGGAAGAGAAGGAAGTACCTCCAGCAGCGTTGGACTGAATTCCAGTTTAGTTTGCTAATGACCAAATTCAAAGAATATATTTCACCATAAGCAGAGTGTTTTCCTAGATCACTGAAAGTTCACTGCAGTAATTCAGAAGTCTGTCTCTGACACTAAATGCAAGTGGTCTACAAGCAGGCTTGATTATACCAGTGCTTACAGGAAATCAGCAGCAATCTGCATCTTTCAGGTGCCTTTCACGTACATGTTCTTGCTACATTGAAAACAAACAAAATCCCTAAACAAATTAACCCAAACCAGTCCCACAACCAAAAAACAGAACTGATTTTAGATCAGACTTTTTTGAAAACTGACTTTTGATTATTTGTACTCAGATGCATATTTTAATACTTCAGAATTGCCAGGTAGAGAAAACACAGCACTTGGGATCGAGCCAATTAAAAATCTGTCTGCTTCCCAGTGGAAAAGTCCAGGAGACAGGCATGGCATTGGTAAAGTTATTCAGGTTATGCTGTTTTATAGGAAGAGCTTCTTTTGGGGGTTTGGTGAATAAGGCTGCACTTTTTCTCATGTTGCAACAGGTGTCTTCAGGGGAACAAGGAGAGAGTGCTCACTATGTTCTTTTGCCTAGCAGAGCTTGAGTTTTGCTTGATATGTGTAAAGGCTTTGGGAGCTCCCTATAATCTTCTACCTATGTCACACATTCGCACAAGGTCTTACAATCCAGGCCTCCGACATTTCATCATCAGCTCACCAGAACTATTTATCTGCAGGTACATAATTGATGGACCTGGAGCTTTAACATTCCTCCACCCTGTCTTAATACTGTTTAGTTCACTGTGTTCCAAAACAGATCACAACCACTTGGGATGAGGACTAGGGCACTCTAAACAAGTGTGATCCACTAAGCTCTCTGCAGTCTAGGAGTTCTTCATCTTGTTCCCACTGCCATGAATTATTATGTGATACCCATTTAAGACTTCATTATTTAAACAGTTGGATAAAGAATTAACACATTTCTTTGGCACAATTCAATATGAGCAGAGGTGCTTGGCACCGCTCATCGTATGGAAATTGCCTAGGGCCAGAAGCTGTGATACTCCTGTTTAGTCATCTCACTGATGACAAGATAAATGTTAAGAATAGTTTCCAAAATAGCCTGGTATGGGCATTTGAAGAAACAGAAAACAGAAGAAAAAAGAAAAGGAAGCCTTAGTTCAACTTCAAATCCATAACATAGAAAATGGACACCATCATTTTGTTGTATTTTAAAGTATCCCATTACAAGGGGCAGGTATTGGAGTTTGGAGTCCTATCTTCCAGAGCAAGATGATCATATCACTGGCTGCACTCATGCACTACAGCTTAGGTTTGTGAAGATGAACTACACAGCATTTGTAACCCACAGATCTGAATCCTTCAGCATTCCAATGTCAGCTTCTTGTAAGGCCTCCTGACAGACAAGATGCCAAAGAAAGCGGCCTCTTTGAACCAACCTCTTCGCCAACAGTTGTTCTGCACAGGTGCTTAACTGGAAAAACCAGATCGAGGAATGATGCTGGGAACTCTGCTGAAATATCCAAGTGTAGTGTTTACTGATGATGCACCAGAGGCTTTGGTATTTGGGTCATCTTAATGCTTTGATCTTCTGGCCCTGTGTCATTCTTTCACTGTGCATACTCGCTCTATTGAGGCTTTGTCTTATGCTGCAGTCCTCTAATGCTGGTGCTTGTAAACCCCTCATTTTGTTCTAAATGTGATTGTTACTGGGTTCAGTCTGTGTGACTGTTACAAGGAGATTGATAAACCACTCATCTTAAACTCTGTTATCCTTTAGGCATCATTATTATTCCTACTTTTAGGGTGGAAAGATATTACAAACATATCTATGTTCACTATGCATTGTCTTAGCTTGTGAGTGAGCCACAAAAATAAGTTTGGATTGGAAAAGCAAATGTTTTAGTTCTTTCTGCATTGTTATGGTTATGTTTTAAAAGACCTTCTATGGATGCTTTGAGAAGTTAAAATAAGGTGGATTTTTACTCTTTGTCCTTTGACATTCTGATGCTCTGTTTTGTTTGTCTTCTGAATGAAATAAAAACTGGTCTTTGGATTCTTTGAGATCTATGACTCTTCTGAAAGACTTGTGCTGTCATTTAGCATGACCAAATGCACATATTAGAAATAACATACTGTCTCTGAATTCTTCCTGCAGTTACAGCCAGACACTGTATGTGTAATGCCAGTCCTCCTGTGATGGCTGGATTCACCCATGAAAAGGAAACCTGCAGGCACTCACCTCATGATCGTTTTAAGTGCTCTTCAGATCAGATTCCCTTTTGGTTCACTGTAGTTTCCTCTTCCACAGGGTTGGAAGTGCCCTCGGTGGTGTTTCAGAGGAGCTGTCTCTCCATGTCCCTGACAATAACATGCACACTCCAGGCATCAAGCTGCTGCTTTTGGCAAGTCCCATCTGCACTTCTCCACTGTGCCCGTATTCAGCTTTCTGTATGGCAAGGACATGACCCTGGTGTGGAGCAGATTGGAAAGATTCAGTGTCTGTCTCACTCATCAGTCCTTGCTGGAAGGCCTGATTCCAAATATTTTACATCATTAAAATGAAAACCAAAATCCAAAGAAACTCAACAACTTACAGTCAAACTAAACTTTTGTTTTCTTAACTGTCTAATTACTGCACAAGGCAGTCCTTGTGGGAGCCTATAGAGGTTTTTCCTTGCCTGTTATTTCTAAGCTTCTGTATTATGAGAGAGGCTTTAAACTTCTCTGGATAAATTATGTATAGGTAAAATACTGGGTTTTTTAAATTAACATCTTCAATAATAATGATGTTTAATTAGTTCAGACCTGCACTGCTTGGCCTGTATATTTCTGGTTTCTCTAATAATGGATTAAAATTAAGCTTTATAGTTTCATACTGAAGGGGATTTTTTAAGCTGAAAACAATAGTCAAAAGGAGTAAACAAATGCAGGATTGTTCTAGTACTCTGTTTCCCCAGCATGTGGTAATCTAAAAATACAGAAGTACCTAAAACTACTTTAAGAGTCAAAGAATTTCTGTAAAATGACATCCTTAAAACTCATCTACAAAGCTCCCCTGAAGAACTTCCTTTAATGAGCTGAAAGGATTTTGGACAGTTGTGATTCAATCTGAACCTGACAGCTGATACGTTATGCAGGGGAAAACATTTTTAATGTAATTTTTAGGGAAGCATAGACTGACAAAAATGTATGTGGTGTGGATAAAGCCAAGGGGAGGAGGATCCTGTGGCACAACAAAACAACCTGACATGCTTCCAGCCTTCTCTAGGACTGTTACAGCCCTCTTTTTTAACCTTTGCTACTACTGCTCCCTCTTACTAATTTCACTTTTGGAGGGGTGTGCTGGGCAGAGAAAGCTGATGCTGGTCAGAGCTGTCAGCAGACAACCCACTGCACACTTCTCACTTGCAGTGCTCCCCCTCAGGCCACACAGCCACAGGATTTTATGATGTCAGGGAATTTCCCATGATCATGGGAGGATTAGGTAACTGCCTTGTTCCTCCTCCCTTCCCTGTGGAGGGGGGTTAGGATTTGATCCAAAACCAACAGAAGTGTGTGGACAGAATTTCATTCACTGACACTGGTTTTATGTCAGCCTCTATAAATAGAAAATCTTCAAGGAGCAGAAAGTTTGCATAAATTTGATCAGCTGAAATGACTGTTCTTTCCTAAAGTCTCCTCCCTGCATCCAGCAGCCCCACCAACCTTCAGTGGGAATGTACATGTCGGGGGCCAAGCAGGAACACAATTAGGCCTTATAGGGTTTTCACAAAATTAAAAATACACTGGACTTTTGGCATTTTCTAGCCCAGCCTCCTGCTCAAAGCAGGACTACCAGCACTGCTAGATCAGGTCAGCCATGGTTTTGTCTAGCAAAGTCTAGAGAACCTTTTAAAGGATGGAGACTCTGCAGCCTGAGTGGCCCATTCTAGAACTGCATTACCCAACAGTGAAGGGGTTTTTTTAGCATCTGGCTTGAACCTCTGAATTAGAGACATCTGCCTATGCCACTGGTGGTTATCTGCCACTATGGAGAGAATTTGTTTCTATCTTCATACCTGACCTTTAAGTAGCTGTAGGATTCTCGTAGATATCCCCTCAGCCTCCTGCACCTGCCTAAGCAAGACTGGCTCCCTCAGGCCCTGGTTGTAAGGTGTGTGCTCCAGGGCCCCATCTTGGGAGCTGTCTACTGCATCCTCTCCAGTTTGTCCACATTTTCTTTGGACTGAGAGCCCTAAAGCTGACTCTGGTATTTCAGCTGCAACTGCACCATTTCTGAGTACTGAGGCGTGGTGACTCCTCTCACTTTCCTGACTGCATTTCTGATGCAGCCCAGCATGTCGTTCCCCACTCGTGATGAGAGCACACTTGGCTGATGACCAGCTTGCCTCTCACCATAGCCCCACATCCTCGAGCAGGACCATTGGACAGCCAGTTCTTTGTAACCCAACCTCACCCCTGGGCCTGCCTACGCTCTTACCAGAAACCAGCATTTATTTCCTGTTTTGAGATCAGCTTGGTTTGAAGAATTTAGGGGTTTTTCACTTGTGCTGTCAGCCTGACCCATTGCAGAGATCAGCATCAGCTGCACAGCGTGTGCAGCTCTGCCCTGTTCCAGCCCGGGCTGTATCCAGCACGGTGATTTTCTCTGTTAGCTTCCCCTCCTGGTGTTCCTGGCTGTGGGAAAAGCAGCTATCCAAGCTCTTTCTCTGTAATTGCACTCATCTGCAGTCACTAAAGAGTTACAGTCTGTGTACCCGACCAGGAAACACCCGATGTTCCGAGGCAACCAATAGAAGGACACATCAACAAAGAACTGACTCACCGGCAGGAAAACTCGAGCTGGGTTTGAATTCAGTTCAAAGCCGACTCACCCTTGCTATCTGCAACAGTTTCACTCCATCCTTCCACACGTTTTATGTTTCTCTTTCCAGAGGTAAGTTTTTAATTTTTATTTCCAGTTTCTTTTCCTGAGACATCTGTATATACTAACATAGAGATTCTCTCATACTAAGGAAATATCTTTGCTATGAGTTATTTTTTTAAAATTACTTTATGATTAGAAACCTGAAATTAATAGCTTTATAGTAGTCTTCCTCGTGCCCCTGCCCACACAGCTGGGGCAGGATGGCAAAGTTATCTGAGAAGTTTAATGTCTTACTAAAAAATAATAATAAACTCTTCCTTGCATAGGTCACCAGGGAATATTGGTTTGGGGATTTGATAGTGAGATTTTAAAAGGATCTAGGAGAAAAAGCATTCTAAAGAGCAGAACTATTGAAAAAATGTCTTTGGTACCTTGCAATCTGGGGATTACAGAGAGACTTCGATATCTGTAATTCCACGACAGTTCCATATTCAATGATTAGACCTTCCAGCTGCTTTAGGAATTTGGGTAGCATCCTGCATAAATAAAATATTTCTCATGTAAGGCTTAAACTCTTTTGGAGATTTTCAGCAAATCACCTGATGTTGAGGTATAGAAACAGATGTACAAACTCAGGCACAGGGAGAATGGTGCTTAGCATGTCATGACATGGTTTGTAACTATAAAGGCTGAAGTGGTTTTCATTTTGATTTTAAAAACCCCTAGTTAAATTAGGTTTTGCAAATCCAAAATAGGACTTAATGATTAGCTTTAATTTTTATTTAAGTACCCAGTTAGCAAGAGTTTAAAAAACTCTTATACCTATATTTGATTTAATTTTAAATAAAAATAACTTCTTTCAAGAATGGTTTAGGTGCTAAATTCATTACTTGATCTTCCTTGCACTGTGTTTGGAGTTGAGTACATCCTTATGACCATTTAAATTATTATTTATTGCTGTATATAATAAAAATTATACATAATTTTGCTCCTGACAGCCTTTTAATTACCTCCTTTATATTTAAGATTGGTATATCTGTGTAGTCTGTCTTCGCAACTTTAAGGGATAAATGGCTCATTTGGAAATTTATCTTCATTCAAAGGAACATTTTGAAATCTTATGAAACTGTTAAATTCTGCCAGTCTCACACCATATTGGATTTATTCTTTAAGGAAGCCCTTAGAGTAGCTGCTAAATCAGCTGCTGCATTTGTATTTGCATTTTGATTATGGTTAGATGCAAAACTGAGCTTAGTACCCCTCTGGTTGTGGATGTGCCTGCAGGGAGAGACTGAGGTTAACCAAAAGCAAATTGGTCATGAGCTAGAAGTTCAGCCAAGATCATGGGCTAATTTATCTTCTGGTTTTGGTTTCTGTTTCAGTTGTGGAGAAAAAGTTATCTGCTCAAAATCAGAAGACTTTCAGGCCTTCTGCATTGCAGGAACTATTTTTGTAGAGCACAATTCACTCTCAAAAGTCCTTCACAGTTACTTCAGTTCCCCTCATCTCATTTCTGTTCTAGCCCAGGTCTACTGAGCTACAGTTTGAGTTCTGATCCACTGATTCCTGATCTTGCAGTGATCCTTACCAATGGTTTCATGCCACGTGATTTCTTAGATTGCTTGTTTTCCTCCTTCACCACTGACTTTTTGTTACCTCTAGTCTAATGGAGCTTCACAGCTGTAACTAAAAATGGTACTCACATAGCAAGGCAGTGATGCTTGGCAGAAGTCCTCTCTAATCCATGTGTGTTGCCATGCAAAGTGAGACATGCAGCTGGCCCTGGACAGAGACTGTACTGGCCAAATTAGTGCCTGCTATAAAGACACAACTACATTCATCAGAATTCTGCCAGTCTACAACAGCAGAAAATTTGCCTTTTACCTTGCTTTTGCATTCACATGTAATTTATTAAAGAAGATAAGCAAGAATGATGCAGAACATGCTGACATGTGTTATTGAATAATTACCTTTCCAATCTAACTGCCTTTTCATCTAACTGTAAGATGCTAGTTTGTTGTCCACAGAAATTCAGTATCGCTTTAAAATCACAATTTTTATTATAAATAATGGCCTAACATTTCAATGTCATCAGATGGAAATAATGATGAGCCATTAATTAGCACCTTGCAGCCTCAGATGGCAAGTTAGGTCCAGACACTCCTTGGCAATTAGTGCATTTTTCCTGTCTGTACAAAGGAGGTCTGACACTGAGTGGTGAAAGGAAGGCTTTTGCATTAGTTATTTGGGAAGTAAGGGGTGGTGCAACCTCCCTGTGCTTTGGTAGCAGTGACAAAAGGTAGTTCTTAAAACTTTTTTCCTTTCTACCGCTTTTCCCCTCAACCCAGCCATCAAGAAATGGCCAATCCACTACCTGTGGTAGCCCCAGAACATTTGGAAAGCTTTACCCTGACCAGAACAGGCTCAGGCTTCGCACTCAAAGCCTTTCACACTCCCTGGAACACTCACATCTGTGTGAAGCTGCTGAGCAGCCAGGACACTACAGAGAGGTAGGTGTTTTATTTGCCAAGAAACACCCAGGGGGAGCAGAGCCCTGCAGTGATGGCACTGGAGTGAAGTGCAGCGTTCCAGGATCAGCTGACCCCTAAGCACATCTCTAGCCCTAGAAACCCTGACCAGCCAAGAGCCAGCTTGCAGGCACTTTTACTGAGAAACACTGGTTTTTTACAGCTTTTCGTAGAAGTAGAGCTTACTCCTGAAGTAATGAATTATGTACTCTAATAATGTATACAAACCCTGATCAGTAATACTAGCATGGTATGGGATTAACTTTCTGGAGGTCCCTAAAGAGATCTCAACTGCATTTAATCCAAACCAGCATGTACAGATGAGGGTACAGGCACGTTCAGGCAGGAGGGGGTAATGGGCAGGATTACAGTGCAGTGAGATGTGCATGGAAGAACATCATTTCCTGGCAAATGTGAATGTCACAGCAAAAGGACACAATACAAGCTTTCTCCTGCCTTCACACTTGAATCCCACTTCAAACTGTACTCTTATGTTCATATTAAAGCATCCAGAGGTCTTTCACTTTATATTGCAAAAATACACTACACAAGGGATCGCTTCATTTTCTTAGAATTGCTTGGAAGATTCCATAGTATTTGTTTATTGGCTTGTGATCAGCCATACGGTTCTCTCTCATTTCCACATCCTACAGTATCTCATCTCTAGCTGAAACTCCCTTCAGTCTAACCTGCCTGGAACTCGATCTCTTTTCCAGGGAGTGGAATATCATACTTCAGGATATAGCAAGTGTCAGATGTTACGAGTCTGAACGCCTCCTGCCTCCTCTTGGGATTTACCAGTGCCACGGACTTGTGGGGACAGTGACTGAATGGATGAACAATGGATCCCTGCACTCGCTCATCCACGAGGTAGATAAAATGTGTCATCTTCTAGGTGGCAAAATGAATTAAAAGATCAGCCAACAAAGATCAATCAACATGTAAATTATGGTCACAATCTGTTCTTTAGTTTCTGGATTGGGCTTCTGTTTTGTAGTTCTGTTTATTGTCCCATGAAAATGTGAACAGTCACAAATTCCCACCAAACCTTGTATTCTGTGTAACTCAGCACCAGCTGTACCCAGAGCTTCCATTTCCCATCCTCCTAAGGATCCTGGCAGATGTGGCTGAAGGCCTGAATCACCTTCACAGCCTGGAACCTGCTTGCTGCCACTGCAGCCTGAAACCTTCCAATGTGCTTCTGGATGGCCAGTACAGAGCCAAGGTAGGGGCTTCAACTTTTAGTCTCTCAATGTGAAATCCAATTGCATGTATTTATTTTAATAGTCAACATTTAGTACCGAGACTTGACGTACTGTTACTAAAATTATTTTTTCTCTGTAGATATCAGATTATGGTCTACCCAACTGGAGGAAACAGCAACTGAGGTCAGACCTGCAGAAGCAGAGGAACTGCCAGGATTTAGTATACCTCCCTCCTGAAATACTTGAAGGAGGCCCTCCTTCCCAGGAAGGGGATATTTACAGGTGAATGGAATTTCTAAGGGCAGGTCATACCTAGTCCAGGCTACACTATACAATGTTGCCAAAATACTTATCTTCAAAGGCATTACAGTAAAAATGCCAGACCTACATAATGCAGTGAGATAGTATTTCACATGAGGACAATTACAGCAGTGAATTAAATTTAAAATTCCCCATATTTGGTGAATAAGATACCAAGGTTAAGAACTGTTCTCAAAGTCAGTCGCATAATATTTATATAATGGACCTAAATGTTTTAAAAGTGGAACATAGCTGCCAAAACTTTCAGATATATTTAGAAACCTCATAACTGCTTCACTCAGTTTGTAAGTGTGAACTGGTTTTGGCTTTAGTTTCAGGAAGAACTGTTTATGCCTAGAGAGGCCCAGATAAAAATTGGACCTTTCTCTCAATAGTGTCCCATGAAGGTCCTGTGGAATCTCACTGAAATAACTTACTGAGCCACTCAAGCATTCATACTTTTTAACAAAGTGATTTATACAAACGAGGGAGACCATCTACGGCCACATGTCCCTTTTGGGTGTGTCACATGCATTGTGGTTGCCTCAGTAAATGAGAGGACCTCAAATCACAGCCGTGGGCTGGATGGACATCCATCATTTTGCTTTTAGGAAACCAACAAATTTAAACTCCTGCTTTATTATCATGGAGGCAGGCTCTAAGATGAATCAAATAATTCATACACTTGAGGAGACCTATAAATGATGGGGCTAATCTGATGTTGTTCACAAACACAAGATTTTTGCACTGGAAGAATGGAGCCTTACTGTCTGGTAGCATAAATAATTTTCCAACCTTTCATTCATATATAATATATATTATATAAAATATATAGTATACCACGTATATATTTATTATATAATATACAGTGATATGCTCAGATGGGACTCAGGTGCATGAGATAGGTGTGTATGTCGACAGGGGTACAACAGAGAAAACAAAAATACCTGTCATATATAAAATACTAAGTACATTTAAGTTACATGTAGGTCCACATTATATTAATATTTCCTAGAGAGTATAAGTAAAAGCACTTCCAGGTTTCTATGTGAAAATAAGGCAGAAGAGGGGGTTCTTTCAAACACTGTAATTCATCACTACAGCAGGGTATGAGTAAGCAGATATGTTTATCCCAGAACTGCCTCTTCCCCTTTTGATTGCTTTGCTTCTGACTCATCCATAGCCTGTTTTCTTTTTCAGCAGCCCCCTCTCTTCTACCTCTGATTTTGCAGATTAATGTTTTTATCAAACAACTGTATTTTATACCCTTAGAGTTGTGGGTTATATATATATAGATCTATGGTATCACTGGAATTCTTCCAAGGATGTTACAAAAGGAAAAAGTATTTGGTGCCCTATAAAAATTTGCTGAAGAAAACAGACACATCAGAATCAAGTTTTTGTAGGTTAAAGATATGCTTGTTGGTACCTGATGAAAAGTCCAGCTCTTTCAGTTGTTACTGAAATTACTTGAAAGCAAAACAAAAATAGAGAAAAGAGAATAAAATATTCCAAAATTCACAAGAGCAAATGGAGACAAGGTGGTAACCTGAAATGGAATTCTAACTGAACCTATGTTTTAAAAACAAAACAAAAAAAAAAATTAACTGATTATAAGAGGAACTCAGTTGAGAACTGAAAAAATCTGATCAAATTAGGAAAGACTTGGGTACACTGTCTTGAAAAACTCTTTTTTCTTAAAACAATAAACTTGCTCTTGGAAATGAGAACACAGATACAGATTGCAAACTAATGAATGGTCTTTCACTGTTGTTTTGTTTTTTTTTTTTTTCAGCTTTGGAATAATGTGTTGGGAGAGCCTAAGCAGACAGAAACCTTTTGGAGGTATTTATCTCTGTTGTTCGTGTCAGACTTTGTATTGTCCGAATCTTGTCCACAAATTCCCTTATTTTAGGGAAATTATGATACAAACAGCACTGCCTTTTCAGATGTCCCTTTGCCTTCTCTTCCTGTTACAGCACAAAGCTCTACATTACAGGATGGAAAGATCAGGATTTCTCAACAAACCCTCAGTGTTTCCAAAGCTGATCTTTCTTCCCCCATTTGTAGCAGCTCCCTGTGTTTGCTGAAGCTCTGTGTCCCTGAGCTGGCTTTTCCACCTCCCTTTAGTGAGAAGGATTATCACTTCACATTTGTCAGTTATTAAGTGTCAGGTAGCTAACTGAATGAGCAGAAGACTCATTTTTAAAGCTGCCATGAGTTTTAAATACCAATCAAGAACTGCCAGTTCATGCTGACTCCTCTTAAGGAAGCAGGACATCTTACCCTCTTGGATGAAAATGTAAGCAGCTAGGAATGATCTTTGTTTCGTGGCAGTGGAGATCAGAGAGAGGCTTCATTCTGCATGACAAAACTGACTGAAGGACTCCTGCATTTTGCAGACTGAGGACCTCTGAACAATACTGCTCAGAACAATATCTTCATGTCTGTACAGCTTGTGGCTGCCACCCTGAGGCTGCTCCAAGCAGAGGGTTTCTGTACAGTAGGAGTTCTGTTCTCATAATGCAAGAGGAAGGCTTTTTGCTTAGAATAATCACAGGTATCTGTGCATGTAGTTTACAGTGTGAGTTCATATATCCATTTGTGACTCAGTATTTGGACAGGGGTCTTTATCCTGAAATGTCCTGTTCCAATCAATCAGAGTTATAGCTATGGTTAAAGGTTATGGTAAAAGAGTGTTAATACATTTTTGCTTTTGAAAAAGCAGTCTTTGTTTTAAAATACACAATGTGACTTATGCTGAATGTAATTTAAAGAGAGTTCTGAGGTCTTTAATATTTTTTACAGTGACATTTTCTTTTACATTGCAGGTCAAGGAACCCTGCTGGAAGTTTTGACAGGAATCTGCAGCAGTTTGCGGCCTGGCCTTTCAGAAAAGTTTATACCAAGCAATTTTCCTGAGAGGAATAGACTGTTGCACCTTATTGCTCTGTGCTGGCATCAAGAACCAGATTCCAGACCACGTCCTGCAGGTAGCACTCAGGATTTGCTGTCTGTGTAGGACCTGTACTGAGATAGTCGTTCTAGGAGCATTACTCTAGCTCTCTGGATGGCAGCACAGCTGAGGTGGGAGCGCTCTTCAGATCATCAGAGTACCCTGGATATTTCTTCTGATTGAAACTTCTTACCAGAAATTGACTTACTTGTCTCCAAAACTGTGTTTAGCATAATGTAAAAATAAAGGAAGGGATATTATAATTTATATACACAAATCTATATATATTTACACTAGCTTAAGAAAGATCAAACAGTCTTAAGCATTTCTCAATTCCAATGCATAACTAGTTCCCTTTGAAGTGTGCTATCATTGTCTACTTTAGTGGAATTGTTATATTTAGCATCTGTTTTTAAAAAGATAATGAGGAAATGTTAACATTGTGATATTTGAGGACTTCTGAAGTTGAAGTGCTGAGGACGCAATTTGCATTTAGCTTTATTGTGATGGATTTATTGAGTCCTGAGTAAACGTTTTGCAATTAAGTTCATACATCTGTGTGAACATTTAAGAAAATATGATTTTCATGTGACTGGAACTGTTCCTTAAAATCAGGTCAAAGAGAAAACCAAGAAGTATGAGGTGGAAGTTGTGTTAAACTGATTTTCTCTAGTTCATACAGCTTCTCAATATAATAGTAAACTTAGTTGCAACATGCTGATGTCTAAATATATAGAAGCTTTCATACACAATGTGATATTTAAAATGCTTTATTACCCCCACAGAATGTGTAGATCTTCTAAATGGAATTCTGACTACTATAAGTAAGGAGGTAATTTCCACAGCAGTCTACGGTCTGATGGATGCAAAGGTTAGTGCAAAATCAAGTTCTGTTCTCCTACAAGGATTTTACTTGATTTGTTCAATTGCAACCTTTGTGACCCAAAACCAGGAAAGGCCTTGTGTTGATTGCTGTAATGGACATGCCAGAGAGCTGGAGTGTGCCCTTTGGCACTCCAGGTTCATTGATAGGAGAAAATATATTGTGAGGTTCTCTAGAAAATAAGCCAATTGATAACCTGCTATTTTAAAAATATGACAGCTTCTTTCCAGCCACCACCTGTAGTCAGCCTGGTCAACCCATGTGAGTAAGAACAAATATTAGCCTCAAGTACTTCAGATTAGGGCTAAAACCAAGGACAATTTTGTTGTATGTACTGGTTACAAACCAATTAGTTCCAAAGCTGGACAGCATTTGTACCTGTTGTAGCAGTGCCAGTATCAGCACTGTTCTGTGCACTTCACTGTTTCTAAATTGACATGCTTTCAGGAACAAGGCATTCCTTGTCCTCCAGTCTCAGAGGGTTCTCTGATACCACAGGAATGATTGGGAATGGCCAGCAGCTGAGGGACACAGCTAACTCCATATATGTCTACAATGCTATGGGAAATCTGGCACAACTGTGGCTACCACAAATAGAGCTGTGTCCTACCCAGTTAACTCAGTCATGGTGGGGAAACCAGGGCCAGGAGCTCCAGCCCTCTGCCTGTCCTGTGACTCCACTGGATTACACAGCCCACGCTGTATTCTCGCTGTCATTGCTGTGCCTGTGTGTAGTGTGGGATGGATTGTTTCTACATGCTGCAATCACATTCTGCCATTGTAGAACAGACTTGATCACTGTTTTAGTAGTTGGCATAGTTATAGTCAGTCATTTTTACTACTGTTGAAGTTTATTACCAAATATTCCGTAATCTAATGTTTTGATTGTCCTTGAGCAAGGTTTTATTTTTTATTTGCTAAATTAGTAAAGAGCACTATTTATTGTTCAAACAACCAAACTGATAAGTCCAAAATTACTGTGAAAATGATACTGAAGTTTCTTAAAAATTGATTGATTCACAACTGTTGAAGTATAAAAACTAAAAAATAGTTTAACAAATCTGCTGTGGATGTGCGAATGGGGAAAAAGTTACAAGTACTGACACATCCTTATTACAGACAGTTTGGCACACTAAACACAGGATGGCTGTGCTGTTTGGATCCTTAAAGGAAAACATGTTATAGCTAGCCCAATCTCTCTCAATATAGGCTTATTTTCACCTTTTTCTGCATGAGCCAAAAATGGGTTTTAAAATAAATTTGAAACACCAGAAGCAGTAACAGGGTAGAATTTTGTGTCAGAGTCTCTGCCCAATGACATGTGTTAAAATGTAAGATTGCTCAGTGCAATTCATTGTTACCACACACGAGCACACCTCGGAGTATAATATATATTGTCAGTATAAATTCTTGAACAAAGCTCATCTCTACTTACTGGGGTTCCTGTGCTTTTTTCTTCCAGGAGAGAGCGCTTGATGCCTGCAAAGGTTCAGAACCATTCACACTGCACACAGGCACCTGCAACTCTGAGGTGAGTACACGGCACCAGAGTCTCAAGAGTACTTCATGAGCTGCTTCTTTCTCCTGACAGCCCTGACAATGCCTAATGCAAACACTGGGCAAAGTGTCCCTAAGCAGGGGAACTCCAGCCAGGCAAGCAGCCAACCCCACTGGTTTACCTTCTTCAGAGCTCACTCTGACGCTGCTCTTGCAAAAACAACATCTTCCACTTCAGATTTGTTTTGAACCTCTCCTGTTTAGAAAACGTTTTGGAACAAAAGTTCCCAAGAAGGTAAAACTCTTCTCTATTTTGATCTCTTTCAGATTATCTGCCCTCCAAAAAACAACTGCTTAATCAGCAAGAAAATTCCTTTTGTAGTGCCAAGCTCATCAACCGGTCTGCTTGATAGCAGTGGAAATAATGCAGGAAGAGAGAATATTCTTGAGATGGGTCTGTCAAACACTATCCCACAGAATGCAAAAACAAGCAAAGGTGTCTATCTTGAACTATATTCAGTCCCAGCAATTATAAGAAATCATAACTATTACTAGTTGTTCAATATAGAAATGTTATTTTCCATGTAAAATTGTCCCTTCTCAGAGTAAAGCTGTGCCTTCTGCTGGTATCATCTGACGTGTGAGTTCACTGCAGGAAACCAGAGACTCCACAATGTTTTCTGATTAAATGTATAGATCAAAAAGCTGGGGTTTTTTCTAAATACTGACCTGTAAATGTAGAGCTGCCTTTCCCCCACACATCAAATATTGAGTGTTGTTTTTGACAGAACAAGTCCCTCCTGGGAATCCCACTGCTTTGGGCCACCAGGAATAACTGCTTTTTCTGTAATTTGCTAGAAAAGGAGATTTAAAAAGTTTTAAAAAGACTATGTTGCCAGGAACGTGTGAATTATTCCTGATAATCACCATTCCTATGTAAATAACTTCCTTTATCTTTCCAATGTGGATTTGTCCTATCATAGTGTTTACATTTGTGTCAAGAAGTGATTTCCTGTACTTCTCATGCCTTTGGATTCAAAAATCGAGACAAAGGAAATCAATTCACTGGTAGCAACATCTGCATTTCCAAGCCCTCTAGTTCTGATCAACAGCCATCAGACTCATTGACAGAATAAAACGTTCCATGACTTCAATAACAAATTCCTACAGACAGTTTGGAAAAGTCAGATGTGTGTAGCAATATACACCAAAATCTTGCTAGGAACAATGATGTACTAACAAGAGCCAGAAGAATAGCTAGTGATAAGTAAGCAGTCTCAAGTCAGTCTTAAGTTCCAGTTTTCTGCAGTGTGTGACACATGTATAAGGTTTTGTTGTTGTTCAATTCAAGGATCTAATTTTGCTCATCTTAACCTTTTCTAGATCATCCAGGCTCTGAGAGTAGAAAACCAAACCTCTTTTGGAAGATTCCTTTAGCTGGTTCAACTGCAAACAAACAAAGCAGTCAGGATGTTGCCCCACCACTGGCTCTTAAGCACAGACCCCAACCAGTGCACCTCAGACAAGCAGTGACAGGTAAGGCATCGCTTCAGTTTGAGGTGGCAATATTTGCCTTGGCCAGATCTAAGTGATAAAATTGTTTAAAATATTTCTAAATATTAAGGTATTTCTAAATTTTGTGCACATTTGTAGGTATTTTGTGTAATAACTGCTCCTAACTCGATACCAGTGTCTCATGAGTCTATTTCTGTAGAGCCACTCCTCTCTTCCCAGAAGTCCAGGCACTGGCTATTGAGAACATTGGCTCCAGGGTCATTGTCCAGAACATTCTTTTCCAGGGTCACTGTGAGGCTGAGAACAGTTCTGAAAAGACCATAATAAAAATACAAAACATACAGCACACATTGAATGTGAAATACATTAGTTGTTTAAGTCTGGAATGATTTTTTTTGCCATCTTAAGCTGTGTTCTTGTATACCTCTACAAGAGTAGCTCCTGACTCCAGAAACAGGTGACAGGGTGCCATCCATTCCCTTACTTACATGGTCTCAGGTCTTCCTACAGAACAGAGGCAGAAAGGGTCAGCTTCTGGTTTGTGAAGCCTGACTGCCTGTGGGTGAAGCTGTTCTTTGGGAGCTGTTTTTGCTAACTTTTTGCAAACTGCCTTGTGACAATTCTCAACCTAGCTGGCCATCCTTCTCCATGGCAATTCACGTGAGTGATGACACAATTTCTGAATAAATCAACAGACTAGATCGTGCAGGAGAAGTTCATCACACAACCCTCAGCAACAATCAGAATGACAGAGGCATGTTCTCCAAAGCAACATGGCTTTTGGTTCTTAATTGTTTCCTGTACACTAAAAACCCTAATATCAGTACTAAGTGTTCTAATCATTTTGTGAAGAGAGAGAGACCCAAAGCTCTCGACCATTTTGCCAAGAGTGTTACTTTACTTATTAGTTTGGCTTTGATGTGTATTCATTTTCCCAGTTTCATGGTACATGTTTCAAACACTCCTGCTACCCTGAGCTGTTATTTGTCCTTCCACTTTTTACAGGAGAACTTTTCTCATCTGTGTCAAGCCAAGCTGCTTTGTGTGAAGTTCAATACAGATGCTCAGTGAATAGCACAAGACCTGAAAATCTCCTCCCTAAAAAACTGAGCACTTAATGGTCTTTAGAAACACTTATTTTCTGTCATCTGATCTTCATGAATTTCAAGTAAAAGATAAAAATACTTTGGACTAGTTTTGAACATACAATACAAACAAACTAACTCTTCCTACTTTCTCCCTCTACTGAGTTAATATTTCTGGTGTTGATGCTACCACTTGCTAAAAACTTCTGGAAGAAAATAGTACTCGTTTAACTCGTTTTGTTTCCTTTTCCCCTTTCACTTCCTTTTCACTTTTTGTTTCCAGGTCCTTGCTGCAAAGGAAACTTCTGCCAAATACTCACCTGCCAGAGACAGACCATACTGAGCTGCATGACAGAAGGACGTCTCAACCACCTGCTCGATGTCCTTCGCTCGCAGCAAACGCTGTCCCGAACGGATTATGAGACAATCACCTCCTACCCCACAGTGACCGGGCGTGCTCGGGCACTGCTGGACACTTGTCTTTGCCTCGGAGAGAGGGCAGCACAAGGTGTGCTGACTGTACTGTCAGTGATCAAATGCAGTCCTCTGGCACAAGTCAGTCACTGCCCAGACTGCCCTGCTAAGGTGAACAGGCTGCTGTTGTGACGTATTTTCCTGCAGTCTGTTATATTCCTCCGAGCACCAGTACTTTGTAACTGCAACGATTCACGTCAGTTCCTCATAACCCACTGACTGAAGTCAATCCTTCCTACAGCCCGTGATAATTTTAAGATTGAAAGGCTTCAGAGAACCAAGTATTTCTTCAACAGGGCCTTGAGGAAGACTTGGACGTTGTACTCAGGTGGGAGACTGCCTGGGAATACTGAGTGCTGCAGGTTTTTTTGCCTTCTTCTGGACTTCTCCAAGGACACAGATGCTTTGGAGCATCCTGCTGCTGCGTGAGCTCATCCACGGGTCACAGACCGTTTGACTGAGTTCACACTGGAGTTCCGGTTTGTCCAGTACACAGAAACACTGCTGTTATCAAAATGTTCCCAGGCACAGGAGAGTAAGATAAGTGGTACAGCAAGCAGTGAAAGCAAAAAGCCAGCCACTAACAAGCACTAATGTACAGAAGGCAGCAAGCCCCACGGCAAGCACACAAATCTGTCAGCAGCTAAACAGCAACAGCAGCTATAAATTTGATCTAGCACATTCCAATCAAATCTGCTGCTGCCTTGAACCCTTCGAGCCTTGTATTGGGTGCCGTGACTGTGTAAGCTCTGCTCAGCAATAACAAAAACAGCTTGGAATTATCAACACTGTTTTCAGCACAAATGCAGAACACAGCCCCATAGTGGCCACTATGAAGAAAGTTAACTCTACCCCATCCAAAACCAGCACAACTGTAAAGGAGAATAATAAGATTACTCTAATTATAACGAAAATTACAGTATAAGATGCTAGTTTTTTGAAGGCCCAGTGGGATTTCTTCAAGCTTCGTGGCACCAGATTAGCATGAGAATTTATACAATCTACAGGTATTTCAAACACAAAACCATGTTACTCTGTTTCTCTGTGTTGCTTTTGGCTCTCTGCAGTCTCAAAGTTCTCACTGAATTCAGCAGTTTGGCAGATTGCAATTTTAAATACAGTAATATGTTGTGTAAGCATACTTAAAGAGATAAGAAATTTGTTACATCAAATTTCCCGCTACAATACTGATGAAAGCATAAACATAATTGTCTTTTGCATAACTTAATTAAACTTTGAGACTGCCTTGAGATAAAATATTGTTACAATTAAAAGCAATGTCTATCAGGATGTGTTGACAATAGTTTTGCTTATTAAAGGAGATAAATATCTGTTTCACAGTTCATTTCTCAGTCTACACTTTAAATGTGAGTTTTCAACAGTCTCTGCTAAAAAAGGGATGTGAGGAAAAGAACTGCTGGCATGGTGTTTTGCCTCTTTAGAAGGCATAAAATAATCTGAGTAAAACAAATAAACATTCACCTGTGGGAAATAGTTCCCAATTTTTAAAAGAGAAACTGGCAATACTGTTGAAACTTAATCATCAGCTTCTGTTGGACACTTTATACTTCTGTGAAAGATGTGCTGGCTGGCAGGCTATGCTGATTTTTTGTCATCATGTTTTTGACACAGAAATAGTTTTAGCTCTTTTCTAGAAACACCTGCCTACTTCAGAATATAATCTGATGGCAGACCTGAGCCCAGTGTCAACTGCTGAATGCAGAGCTGGCATCAAAGAATGTCTCCCCAGAATATAAACTCTTGTAAGGCCTGCAGTGTTTAACATTGTCCTGTGCTGATCACTGAGTGTGTAACAGTGTCCTGTGCTGATCACTGAGTGTTTAACAGTGTCCTATGCTGATCACTGAGTGTGGAACAGTGTCCTGTGCTGATCACTGCAGTGTTTAACAGTGTCCTGTGCTGATCACTGAGTGTGGAACAGTGTCCTATGCTGATCACTGAGTGTGTAACAGTGTCCTATGCTGATCACTGCAGTGAATACCCCACTGCCTAAAGCTTATGTTCCTCTGCTTGGGCCCGAGCTGGATCCCTAGCTCAGGTTTCTGTCATCCTTGCCTCTGGGTGCTGCAGTTACCTTGGTACTACAAAATAATGTTGAATACACAGTAAAGGTAGAAGAATCAAACTGTTCTTTAGTATCTGTGGGAAGGAACAAGGCTTGAATGTGAACAACTGGAGTTGCAGGAAGGAAATATAAAACATGGGTAACTCTAGACAGCAAAGAGGATAATAAAACAAAGTCACTTCAGGACTGATTAGTAAAGCTCTCTGTTGCAGTTACTTAGAAAAAACAAAATTAAAATAAATAGATGTTAAAAATTACAAGTCATATTCAGATTTCAAGAAGCTATTTAAACTTATTAAAGGAACAGTAAGTGGAGTAGGTAGATGGTTATTTTTCTGCCTTATTGTAATGTATTTTTCTTCTTGATGATGGTTGCTGCTATCTTGCTGATTTGCAAAAAGATGACTGTCCCTTGCCCTTTGTCCTATCTATACAACACTTTTATCTGAGCTGGGATACTTCCTGCAATGTAAGAATGTCTGCACTAGAATTTGCTTGAAGTTGATTTGTGGAAAATTAATCTGAGGTACTGGAATGAAATGTTTAAGAGATTAGTCTTTCCAGGAGAGAGCAAGACAAACAAAGCTATAAATACCGCTCAAATGTTGTTACCAGTGCCAGCTAAACAGTTTCAGAGAACATCAGAGGAAGATAACAAGTGCATATTCATAAAATACTAATCTACAGAATTTCAAAAACTGCATTAAGGGACTGCTAACGTACACAGAATTTGACACCACATAAGTAGTCTCAAATGTACAAAACCTAAAGCACAATGAAAACATACTAAAACATACTAACCCTCAAGGGTTCTTATTTCATTGTTTCAAGTCTGAATTCTACATAACCTTGTAAACATTTGTCAAGCTTGCACAGGTTTAGTCACTTGAGCTGTTGGTGCGAAGATTTGTGAGGAAGGCAAAGTGCAAATGTAAAGACGCTGAGAGCGAAGGACCCAAACATCACCGAGGCAGGACAGAGAATCACGTTTCTGTCCTGCTGTTCACTGATTACAGTGCTACACAGCTAGTGACTATGGTCTCCTCCAATAACATGTGCTGTCTCTCAGCTGCTGGGCTATTTTATGCTTCAAGAAATTTTGTCTTACATTATATTCCCTTTCATTCTTTTCCTGCCCCCTTCTTTGCAAAATACTTTATGGGTGCTCAAAAGGCCTTAGCATAGTTTGGTTTTTTTTTCCTTCTCAAGACAAGTAATCCCTTCCTTGCTTGCCTGGTCCTACGTTCCCTTAACTGAGCACATGGTTGACTTGACAGCTGGTATGTCAGCTGAGTTAAACAAAACTCCTGGGTTTTGAAGGTAAGTCCACCATAAATTAAACTACCTGACAAGGTCTGAAAAGAACATATTTAATGAGTTATTTGTGCCACACTAAAGTCAGCATAGCTGCAAGAACATATTAATTGTAAGCATTTTACTTAACCCCAGCATGACAAAAATCGTAGACAAGAAGCTCATACATATTATTTCCAGCTCTTGTACTGATGTGGCAGAAATTTGTGATCAGTATTTTCTTATTTCCTGCCTTTATTTCTCTTTGCTAAGAATGCATCCCAAGTAAGAGTTACAGAACTCCTTCAACCAGGATGAATTAAATGGCAGTGATTTAGACAAAAAATTTATTCACCCCTTGAAATGTGACAACATTCCAAAGTACCTCAATACCTATTTCCAGCTGTTGTACTTGAACCTTCCACATAGCAAAAGCAACATTCACACAAGCAGAAAGCACAGCTGAATTTCACCCTCTCAGAATTAACCTGGCTGTAGTTCAGAAAGTTCTGTGCAGTTGGTCCTTTCCTTAGATTTCAAGAAAAAAGTGTCATATTAGTTAACAGAATGACTACCAACATTATATCTGTTTGTCCTATTGGGTGAAAAAGAGCTCAAAGCTTTTTTTCAACTCGTTAGAATGTTACTGGGGGAAAAAAAGTAAAAAATGAGAGAATTGACTAAGGAATACACCTGGAAAATGAAAAGAACCCTGAATGTATAAGACTTTTGACAGTATTCAGCTCTAAGCATGGACTGAGGAGAACCCAGGAGGGAGAGAAAGGTTGATAAGCAGTGAGGAAACCTGACGTGTAAGGACAAGTTGATAAACTTGTGTGTGTTTGGTCTAGCAAACAGCAGACGAAGGGCACAGCAAAGAGTGGAGCAGAGGCAGTGAACATGCAGTGAGGAAAGAGAGCACCTGGTCTGTTTTATGGCTTTGTGATTCTGGAGTAGCTTTCAAACAGGGGCTTAAAAAAGATTTAAATGCCATTATAAAGTCAGGCTCCTTCCCCACAGCCAGAGAAATCATCAGTATTCATGGAACTTCTTTTTTTACCTGATCTTTAGTTGACAAAATTAATATAAACAACAGTGATTTGCTCAGCTTTGATACCTCAGGCTGTTCAGCTTATTTATGCAAACTACAAATGTTTAATGTGATTTAAGGGAGAAGTTAATGTATTTTTGCTGGGAGTTATGTAACATGAATATTAATAACTGGTGTAACTATTTATTTCACTAACACCTACCTGTGAAGTCACGTGCCTGTTAGCAAGGCAGCTACCAGGACGATGGATTGGAGATAATTTGAATTAAAGAGCCTTGGAGATTACTGCCACCCTTTACAGTGTTTCTGTGAGTTCTGAAAGGAAAAGAAGGCTTTCCTACATTTTTGCTTCTCTGCAGATCATGGCTGGTCATCTTCCCTCAAATACAACAAAAATCTTTTCCATTTTTATTAAAAGGCAGTCTTTATTAAGCAAGATCTCTGTCAATCCATTAAATGTTTGCTGACAGAGCCACTGAAATACATAATCTTTTTCATGTAGAAAATTTAACTATTTTAAGATTATTTATTACCCTGAACTTTCTCTTGTCCCCTTTGTCAATTTTTAAAATGGGATTTTCTTCACATTAATGTATTTGCCTTCTTCTTTTTCCATGAAACTGCAGGAATATTAAAAAAAAAAAAAACAACCCACTCTTAAGACATACAGTGTTAAAATGCAAACAAAATAATAGGACAAAAAATAGGTCCTTACTTGTGCTGAACTGGCACGACCTCACATAGAAATTTGATTGTTTTTCTGATAGACTGCATGCCTCAGACAGGTTTTACTAAACCCTGTATGAGACTAAAAGATTTACAGCCAAAGAAATATTTCAACTCGGGGAGGCTTTCTGCAAAACCAGCTATTACTGCTGTCCCCTCCCTTCTGCTCTGACTCCTGCAGAGCTGGTTAAAATGTAGTCTGGTATGTCTGGGTAAAACCTTTTCTCTCCACTGAAATCAATCATATGCTGGTATTCAAATCTGCAGATTTATTTGTTTACAGAAATCTCTCACTTAGGTATAGAATTCATGATATGTACAGGAGAAGAGAGATTTGTATGCTGGTTTATACTATCTTTCAAAACTAAAATTAAATCTCATTTTCTGTATGATATGTATTGGGGTTTGAACTCAGCTGTTGAATTTTATTTTATTTTAATGTGTTCAGTAGGAATGTTTTCTTCTATTCCATTTACCAGCATACCAATATAGCAATTTAATTCATTCTTAGAGTCAGAGAAGCATTTAGACTGGAAAAGACCTTAAAGATCCTTGAGTCCAACTGTAAACCTAACAGTGCCAAGTCTTAGCTAGTCTGAGACTATTTATTTTGTTTTAAATCCGATGGTGACTCTCAGCTTCTTCACCCAAATTAACCCCCATCTGGGAAAGCTGTTGGGCTTCAGTGCTCCTTATGTTCAACTTCAGTAGCAAGAGAAGGTGCACCAGGCCCCTGTCCTGCTTGTAACAGTGCCAATTAACTATGCCAGTTAATTGTGCATAGTGACAGCTGCAGAGGGAAAGGTGCAGTAATGATTTGGTACTTTAAGATATGCTTGGGCATGAGAGGATTTTTCTTCTTTGTTTTTACAGGTGACTATTTAGTCACAGATGTTTTTTCTGGCACAAAGGAAGCCGTTTTAAAGAACAAAATAAAAGATAATTATCAGGATTTCACAGCTGTAATTTCACAGTATGGTATACACTGGATTTAACTCCAACAGCACGCAGTGTAGCTGTCTCCTGTGTCTCCTGATTGTTTCAGCACAGCCACCTAACAGAAATATTTAGATTTTGTTTTAATAACACAACCTCACAATTAACTACAATGTATGTTACTCTAGCATAGAATAATGCAGAATAACAATTTCCCAGTGATACAACACTTCAGTAATTAAATTTGTCCTTTGCAATAAGGGCAAATAGGGAGTTGTTCATGTAGTGTGACACCGAGCAACCTACGTGATCAACTGACTGCAGTGTGGGGTGAGGACACTTGCAGGACTCCAACCATAAAGTCTGTTGCATGAGATGACACTGATGACCCATCTTAACAATTAACCTGGTCATCTCCTACAGTTTCAACATAAGTTGAGGTCTTCCACATTTTCCCATACTGACACTGAGGTAAAAATAACTGCCTGACCTGCAGGAGCAGTAATCTGACACACGTAAGCAGGAGGTGCAGTCTCCTCTGCCATCTGCCCGAGCTCTGACACAGAAGCCCAAGCGCTTGCTCTCACTTTGCATTCTCTTCCAGATTCTTGGAACAGTGAACACAACAATGTCACCAACGCTGCATAAGTGACCATGTCTCATTAAATCTATGCTATTGGTATTACGAATGCCAATATTGTAGCTTGTGAGATGTAAACTAAGAAAAACTAGTACTGAATAAAACAGCAGTAAACTTTAACAAAAGCAAATATTTCTTCTGGAACTGTATACCTGTATCTGCAGCACAGCTTTGAGTGTTTTCAAAAGTTTGATTTATGGCACTTCACAGTATGTGACTGGGAAGCTGAAAGGCTTTTCATAGTTGTGGGGATCTTGCATAACTTGGGAAACTCTTGGTAGTTCTTAATTAGTCCACTACAACTTGCTCTGTGGGACACTGTACACGCCAACTAATCAAGAGCCAAGTGTGGAACAAAGGAGGGAAGTGCAAAACACTCTCAGATAGACTGCTGAGAAATCATTTCTGAAAAGTTAGCAAAGGCAACTATCATTTTAATTTTAGGCCTGAATACCTTCTAATATTAGCAAAGAATGGATTAGACACTGGAACAACTGTTCTGGCAGAAAAAAGGCCAAACCCATTAATAGAGATCCTACTTACTGCAAAGGCAAACGGACTGGCAATGTTTTGAGAAAACACTTTCCCTAATCTTAAAGACTCTCTTAGTGTTAAGATATTTTACAGCTCAGTTTTTAGGGGGCACTTTTAAATATTGAGACATTCTGAAAATCTTACTCATGGAACATGCAACCTCGGGCAAGAACTCAGCAAAAATGTCCAGGGTGCTCTGATCTTGTATTTGTGAAACAACATGGGTTTGTTTATTTTACCAGGTATGCCTGTGCTACACAAACTGCAGAAAGAGAACTCCTTTGTCCCTCTTTCCTCACATACACATGAGCCTGTTCCCCTTATAGGCAAAACACATTAGGTCATATTTGATTTGCACACCCTGTGTGGAATCTATGCACAGAAAGGTCTTTCGGATCGTGTTTTGGAAAACTTTACTTTTAAAGACAACCTAAATTTGGATCGAATACAAATACAGAATCCTGCAGAAGTCTGAAAATTTAGGGAATAAAGGCTGTCCTTACTATGTGTTCACCCAACCATTGTTCCCATTACTGTAAAGTATTGAGTACTGTAAAGTAAGTTCTCTAAATAAAATGGGAGGGAACCCTTTTATTAAAGGTACAAGTTTATTTGCACTGTACAAACATTTCAGGGTAATTCAGTAATTAAGAGAAAGGTAACAGGGGTGCACTAAAAGAAAAGATGCCAGAGTGGGATCAGCACTGATGGGGTTGTACTGCAACATACTGGATTCAAAGTAGCTCTGCTAAGGAACATCTGGCTGAATTTAAATGGCAAAGCTTGGACTCAGCACGATAAGACAAACGAAATGATGATATTGGCTTCAGCCTCTGATAACCAGCTGCTCTCAAACAGGGTATCAATGTAACTGCTGCTCAGTATTACCAGAATCTTCTAAGCTTCCATACTCCTGCTTTTGATCAGAGACAGAGACAGGTACCACAAGTATATCAAAAAAAGGACTCACAATAACACAGGGGAATCTATAACAGAAAGAAATTTGCTGTTTTGAACAAAGTCTGAGCAGTTATATTAGAAGGTCAGACTTACATAACATAAAATAAATGCCAAACCCAACAGATGTCTTCAAACTGTCTCATCCAGAAGAAATTTATTTAAATAATGTCAAACTGGGTTACAAACATTTTAACTAAGGACTTCATATTCTTCAGTCATATTACCCACATACTAATTTGGGACCTGAAACAAGAAAAAGATATTTATTCTTAAGAAGCTATTTTTACAGCCAGAAATCCTCCTTAATTTGTTTTTATACATAATCACTTTTAATAGCCTTCAAAATAGACATGGACAAAGAGCATTATCTTTGAAAACCCCTGCAGTGTTATAAGTCTTGGTGAAACAATGATTCTAACTCCTAAGTTATTTCCCAAGAAAATCAAGCTGTGATTCAGTCACTCTCATTAATAAATAGCCAGATCCTCATGAAGTTAATTCAACACAGATAAGACAAATTGTATGACAACACAGATAAGAGAAATTGTAAGGGTAATGCCCCAAGTCGAATGATTTAGTTGTCTAAAACATCAAGTCAAACCATCTGTTTAAAAATAAGTATATCTACAAGGGATTGTTTTTTCCAAATAAACCTCCAAAACTGACCAGGAAAAACTTGATGTATTGAACATTCCACTTATACTTGAGCAAAAGAAATGTAAAATAAAAATAGAAAGTTTGTGGTATTAATCAAAAGAGTTCTGAAAAAATACTATAGACCTTTGATGTTTATCTGACGATGTGGATTTTTTTTGCTGTTGTTTCTTTGCTCTCCTAGCGAAGTTTTATGGATAACATTTGAAAATTTGTTCATACATTAGAAGATATCTATTCCCACTTTCGCTCTGCAGCATGGACAGCACTGAACAAAACCAGCTTATAATCAAGTGCAGCAAAGATATATATAAGCAAACAAATTTTAGTGAGACTGGATGAGTCAGCAAAAAGGAGAGGGTACCTGAAAGGCAACAAAACCAGACAGAAAAAATAAAATTTAAAATTTATTTTAGAGTCTGTTTTTAAAAATCAGTATAGAGAAGCTAAGTTTTCCATAAAAGAAGGACTAATATTAATCTTCAGAGTATTTAAATATGTGCAGTTGGACAAGACAGAGACATCTCACAGTTTCTGTTCCTCAAAGGGATATTTTCCACTACCTCCTCCTCTTCCTTTTCTCTCTGCTCCTAGCTTATTCCACATTTATACTTTTGTGATTATGACAGTAAAAAACTAACCTTCACAAAAGTATTGTTTTCTGCCAGCTTAGTGAGCAGAATTGTCTCACAGAGGGGGCCAGGCAAGTGCCAGAGCCAGTCAGATGCTGAGAGCCATTGGAATAGGAGGAGACATACAGCTAGGATCAGGGGAAGATAAATTTAGAAGCCTAAATTTAGACCTTTTCCTTTAATTGCCTAGCACTTTGATGCTTGTAGTCACTCTCATTTGTAAATAACACTTACTCTGCCTAAACCACCTAGAGCAGAAATTTGTATGATGGAAAGAGGATGGTAAAAAGAAGAGGAAAAGGACCAGTGAATTTGTTTTTGTAAACAGTCACTCAGCTTTAACCAAAGAAAAGAAATGGGGACACTTGCATTTTTTTTAACTGTTTCTGTTGCTCTCCTGAAAGACTACAGAATATGTGGCTGACACTGTTCTTTGAGATCATGAAGGCTGAAAACTACAAAAAATAATCTCTGCCTTTAAGTACTCCTAAAAGTTGTAATTTCCTGGGATCTGGCTAAAGCCACAGAGTTATTGTCCCAACAAATTTTATGATCCCTACGAATAACTCGTGTCCACAGAATGCACAGTTCAAAAGAAGCATGAAAGTGGTGCCAGGACTCCCTGGGTATGGTAAAATTTCAAAAAAGAACCAATATGAACTGTCAAACACACGGCTGGCAGCAACACCTCCATTACAGTCAATAGCATAAGGTCCCTGCTGCAATGAGTACAACTTACACACACACAACACACCTTCAGTGCTGGCCTGAAGGAGCTCACTGCATGCTCATTCTTCCATGAATTAAGTGCATGAGCAACACATTCCTGGGAGACTTATGCAGTTATGGATAGGCTTAAACTCACTCTGAACACCAGAATGAACTTGTGTTCACAAGTGTTCACAAAGCTGAAGTGTAAGGTTTCAGATTCACTTCTATTTAATGGCATTTTTTACCTTGGGTTTGTCATGTTCTAAAACCATGTAATGAATATCATGTGGACTTGGCTCCCTGTAATCTGATGCAAGTTCAATTTGGTTTGTTTAGGAGTATTTCATCTGCTTATTCTTCAAGCTTTTTGAGTTGAATTACATTTTCTCAGATGTATCTAAGTGGCAATATTAGACTACAAGAAGATAGGGCAAAACTCACAGACTTAACAAAACTCTGTTTTACTTTGTTCTGACTAGCTAAAGGAGATAAGATCTTAACTTGATTAAATTAGTACCAGATAAAATCCGAGTGGAAACAAAGTCTTTTTTAGTTTTCTTTCTCTCCTAGTGCTTAGAGAATAGCACTTCTGTATAAACACAACTTACCAGTGGCCATTTACGGAGCACCAGGGATGAACCATACAGTTTATGGAATCTGTAACAAGAACAGAAGAAATAAAGTAATGAGTCCACACTTATATTTGCCTTCCTTAGTGAAATTGAAAAAGTCATTTATAAAGTATGAACCTTGCCAAAATGGACAAAAGTATCTATTTGGATGATTATTCTAAAGTTTGCTTCTGGTCACTTGCAAACATTTTAGAAGCATCATCTACCCTTGTGATGCTGTCCTACCTCTCATACCAACCTCTACAGTGTTCTGACATTTCAGAATTCAGAAGGTGAACTTCTATTTTGAAATCACCAAACGGGCATTTTCCCCAAGAAATATTTTTCGAGGTTCTAAAACACAGTGTCATCCTCTATAGTTCCACATGCCTAACAATTTGTTTCCTATGCCTCTTCAATTCTTCAGTTAGTAAAGGCAATTTTAGAATTAGCTCACATTTTAGGAGTGCATTTTTTGAGGAGTGAATGTTGTCTTCAGTAGATTCAATTATGAGAGAACTTAAAAGGCAGTCTAGCAACAGCTGAAACCAGCTCTTTTACACTCACACTCAATCCTCATCCATTAATGTGTGAGACGACTGGTGCAAATACCCACCCCTGAAAGATGCTGTGTTAGTACTACAGAACACAGAGCACTGGCAATATTTGCAGCCATGACTTAACACCCATGACTGCTTTCTGGTTCGTATTACCTTTATAACAGCAACCAGTTTCATATGGTAGGAATTTGAGTTCTGCTCTCGGGTTGTCTTTGACGGTTTTTTTATCTTCTGTCAGTGCAGTGTAACTGGCTTAAAAGCAAAGAAGTCGCCTATCAGGACTGTTAAGCTCCCAGAAGGCAGCAGACTGGTTTTGTTTGCTGCTTTGCAGCACTGCCAGTAGTCTTAGGAGGTAATAGATTCAGCGTAGTTTGTGCTTGACAAAAGCCAAACAAAGAGTTGAGACAAAGATAATTAAAGAGCTGAGATGATCAGGCTCTTCAGATTATGATCTGCAAATGACTGTTTTGCTATGGTGCTGTCTAGTTTAGAAACTAAGTCTAATGTAATTCTCTTCCATATGTGCACTTAAAAAGCCAACTTCTAGCAAACAAACAAACAAACAACACTGTGTTGTCTAAACACAGTGTAAGGAATATTTGGAGGTGTAGAGGAGTGCGGCAGTCGCCTGGTAGCCTGATTGTCTCTGTGACAATGAAGGAAAATAACTCCTTGATAAAATACACAAGCTTTGAGAGACGAAGTAGGATGGAAATTAGAAATGTAAGCCTTGTGGCAAAAGAATTGGACTCCACTATGGCATTTACTGGCACACTTATAGATATTACAGTCCATAGTTTGCCTTTCTCTTCTCTTTTATAGCCTTATAATTTTTATTTGCCCCTAAGGTTTTTACCCTCTTGAAAAACGCCACCTCTGACTCATCTGAAACTGTAGATAATAATCTTGGACCAGTGGAGGGGTAATTAGATTGTTTAGAGCAAGACAAAGACTGATGTCTCCTGAGCCCTTTGCCTCGAAGGTAACAGCAAAAAGGGCAATAAAAAACATTAAGAGGGGGCTGTTGCCTGAGGTTCACTGGCTTAGACTTGGAAAAACTATTAACCTGCTAGAGGAAGACAAGAAAGCCTCAATTACACTACTAAGATAAATTTGCTGAACGGCAAATTGCTTACTATTATATTCAGACACCACGGGCCATTTTAAATCATGATTCTGGTGGATCGTATTTTAACGGAGCAAAATTTCGGGCGTAACTGTGCCTCTCCTGGGGGCTGAAACACACTAATGGAAGTGTTTCAAGGGTTCCCTTTTAATTTCCACATCCACTGTGACTGGCGCTTACCACCTATGCAGTGGTAACCCGAAATACCACCACATTTCACCGTTTCGACCCTCTGGGGCCCCTCAGCCTCGAGCCTGAGGGTCCCTCAGGTGTAACTCGTGCGGGTTTAGCTTTGTGCAGCGCCGTCCCCCGGGCTCTCCCAGGAGCTCGGTGTCCCCTGAGGGACCGAGGGCTGCGGGCAGGACCGCCCAGCGCCGCCAGCTCGTGCCGGGAAGAGGCTCGGTGTTCGTACCGTCAGCGCTAAGGCTCTTCTCCTGAGGGATCCTGCCCCTGGGGGAGGGAAGGGGGCTGGTCCCCCGCCCCGCGGGAAGCGATCGCCGCTCTCCTCACGCGGCGGTAGCGGAGGGGCCGGCGCCAGCCCCGGGGGGCGCGCGGCAGCTCGGGCCCTGCGAACACCTCCCGCCTCAGCCGCGGCTGCCGGGCGGGCCGCCGAGGCCCCGGAGGCGCGGGGGGCAGCTCGGGCCCCGCGGCGTCCCCCTCGGGCAGACCGAGCGGGAGGTAGCGGCCCATTTCTGCCGGAGAGGGGCGGGGAGGCGACGGAGGCGGCGACGGCGGTGGCGGGGCGGCGGGGCGGGGCGGAGCGGCCGCCATCACACGTGTGGCAACGGGCGAGCATCCCCGAAACGGCAGCGGCGGGAGCGGAGGTAACGCGGGGCCCGCGCCGCCGCGGCCGGGCGGGACTGCGGCCCCGGGCTCCCTCCGCCCTGAGGGGAGGCTGGCGGGGCTCGGCGCAGGGGCTGCCGGCGGCGCCTCTCATGCAGCATCAGGGGCTGGCGGCCTCGGCGACCCGAGGAGCTGCAACTGTGCGGGGTGGGAGCGTGATAAATACCGCGTGTTGTTTTTAAGGGGTGATTCAGCGGCAGCACATGTGAGCGTCCCAGCCCTGACAGTCCCCGGCTGAGGCGGGAGCCTGCAGAGCTTCCTTCCTGGCGCTGTCGCAACGCTGCAAGTCCGTCTGAACCTCGCCCCTCGAGGGGCGATCCCCCCTCCGGCGGCGGGACCCCCTCAGGGTCCCGTCCCTGGCAGCCCGGGGCGCCCGTGCCGAGCGAGGCTGGTTGTCTGAAGCCACGTGTTTATTTCGTTTGGCAGCGGCGGTGTGAGGGCTGTGCCCGGTGCTTCTCGGCGGCGGGTGCGGGCAGTTAGAGCTGTCTGGTAACGGCTCGCAGGGAGACCCTCAGGCCAGGACGCCTCGGCTCGCTGGCGCTCGGTGGTGATTTTCATTGCTTGTGTGTTTTTAAGTGTCGCGTATTAAGTACAATCTGTTTAGGCGTGGCCGTAGGTTGCGCCTGAAGAGTACACATGGGTGTAGGTCTGTAGGTAAGCCTGTGCTGTTTGGCATTACTTTCCCCCCTTTCGGGAGGTTTTCACTTTTCTGCCCCAGGATAAAAAACAAGGTCAGTTATTGAACAAACCTTTCTGTCTTTACCTGAGCCTTATGCTACAAATTTCACCAGATGTTCTGCTCCTTGCAGTTGCTTCATGCACTCCCAGCCACACTTCTTGCTAAATCAGGACTGTCACCACAAAGTCCGTGCTGTGAGCTTGATTCTGTTTTTTTCCCTGGGGAATATAAAAATAAATTAGTAGTATGAACGATATAGTGGCAAATTGTTTTCACTTGGAGCTGGCACGATTCTTTGAAATTACTCAGTTTAAAATCTAGTTAGTATTAAGTATGTGGATTTGTCTAGGATGGGTAACTTCAGAATTTTTGGGAAATTTCTGAGATATTGTAACTGAATATCTTTGTGAGCTGATGATAGGTCTTTCCCTCATTCAGTGTTCACAGCCTTATTCAGGATTTGTCCAAACATGGGTAGTATGTGTATTTGCAGAACATCTCTCTCCAGCTGTGTCACAGATGTGTATGGTCAGGACTTACTACCATCACTGATAAACTCTCAAGTGAATGATTGACATAGTAACTTCTCTTTCATTCCTTTTTACATGATAAACATATCTGACCATTTTTTAAAAAATGAGTGTTACAACCAATTCTATTTGATTGAAGGTTTATGGGTTTTTTTTATAGTCCTAAAGACGGTAAGTTTGCACATGCAAGCACAAAAGAATTGGTTGAACAGAGTAATCTTTACATTGGGAATTGCTTTTGTTGCAAGGGCTTCCTGTCTGCTAAGCATATGTATGTATGGCAGGGAAGTGATTCTTCTCTCACCAGCAAAAAGGAAAACACGTGCTAGACAAACTCTAAGCCTTTCCCATGTAAATGTTCAGACTGCGAGGTGCCTGAATATATACATTGCAATGAATAAGCATTTCTGGGACTTACAGCCTTTGCTCTGTGGGTGCTTAACTCCCTGAAGACTTTGATGCTGTTTGCCTGTATAAAGCAATCTTGACTCTTACTCGAAGGGCCATTCATTGTGTTCAGAAATAGGAGCCTTACATCTGGTACGTGTGAATAGTCCAAGTCCATGTAAAGCTGTGTTATGGCAAGAGTTGTTTGAGGCAATCAAGGCGACTATGGAAGACAGGCAAGAACACCAGAAATCTTTGGTAATGAGCAGGTACTGTGTAAGAATACAGCAAAACATAGTAAACTTTCAGCAGTTTGGTACTTCACCTGGGTCATTAACCCACCTGCATGTTCACCCCAGCCTGAGCACATGACAACTGTCCAGCTCAGTGGGAGAAAGGGGATCTTGGTGGAGGGTTCCTCTTTCCCTTCCCTTAAGGGAGGGCCACCCTGTAATGCAGTGTTAGTGCTCTGCTGAATGCATGCTAACCTTCATTAGCTCCTTTGCTACCTGGCCAAAGTGGGATAGGCCTTACCAGAATATACAGTTTTGGTGAAACACTGAAGGGATCCTCGTTTCAGGTCACTCTGTCCCAGGTTCATATTAAAGCCTTTTCTATCAATGGCAGAGTCATTTCAGTAAAAAAAAAAAATCTCCACATATCAGCAAGAAGATTCCTCAGAGCTGCAACGATCAGCAGAAAAAAAGAGTTGGAAGACTTTGTATTGCACAAGGGCACGCGATGAGGAAATCCTTTTTAGTTAGCTTGTGTGAAAGCATAACCCTGCATTAGCCATAGCAGTCCTGTGGCCAGGCTTTGGCAGCATTAGAGATTGTTCTAATAGTATTTTTAAATGCAGTCTTGTAGGATTATTGTGTGTTAGAAAATATATACTGTTTGTCTCTCCTTCTCCTCCTTCAAGCCTGTCTTCTGTTATCACAAAAGTAGTGATCTGGTGACAGAATCATGGATTTTAATATATGTGTTTTTTCTGTATAGTGTTAATAGTGACATAGCTTCAGTTTTCTAGTCTCTGCTCTCCCTCTTCACTGTTAAGTTTTCTCTTCCATTTGGTAAAAGCTGCAGATTTGAGTTACATTTAAGATTAGCTGAAGTGCTTGTATGAAAAACCTGCCAACAGTTTTGTTTCTGTCGCAGAGGTGCTGTAATAAGACACATGACTCAGGCAAATAAGCAATTCCTGCCCTCAAGGCTCTAAGGGTATAAAACAAACAAGTGTAGAGGAGAGAAAGCAATGCCAAATCTGGAGTGAGCTGTTGCACACACTTTCATTAAATCCTAGTTGTGGGTGGATACCCGAAGTTGGGAATAACAAAAGCAGACTCGGAGAGGAAGAAAGAGTATTGGGGAACAAAACAGGCTAGGCTGAGAGATAGTGTGATTGTTCTTTCCTGGGTAGAGCAGATTAGGGCAAGAAGCAGTCAAGGTCATCAGTAAAAAACCTGTATAGAACTGCAGTCATGTACTGCTAATTGAGATAGAGGCATTTGAACAGTGACAGAGTCACTGGTAATTAAATTTACCTCTGAACTTCAGACTGCGAGGTAAATCACGGTTACTCTTAGTGCAAAACTGCCTGTGTGTGAACACATCAGATTTGATGTGATTTGAATGATTTGAGTGATCTGAATCAAGTCAAACCATCACAATGTCTGAGTATTCCAAGTGATGTGTATGCTTCTTATCTGTACTTTGAAAGGTGTTCCAGGAAGAAATGGGAATGATGATTAGGATATGTGGAGTAAAAATCACGTGTAACTGTGTAGTTATCACCAAAATTATGTTTTACATTTGTGATGAATTCTTCATATTTACAATTTTATCCTTTAGCTGGAAGGGCTGAAAATCGACATGGCATATTTCCAGACTGGCAGTTGGATGTCATAATAGTAGCTGTAGTATTCTTGTTTTTCCACTGACATTTGTTCAGGATGATTTGCCCTCTGAAATACATTTACAGCTATGTTCTGTCTGAGTTCATTTCATAGAAATGAAAAGACTCGATTTGGAGTTAAATGTTACTTTTATGGGTCACAAGTGTTCCTTTAAATCCACTTCTTACAGCCAAATTAGTTACGAAAACATCTGCTTTGATTATTTGTTCTGCTATTTTACACAGCTTTCAGATGATTGCATCATATTTACAATGGATTATTATAATAATGATATTCATTTACAGAGTAATAACTGATCTTTCTGTTGTAAAGCAAACCAGATAATCTTGTGAGCTCATAGGCCACGTGTCTTTTGAAGACTTAACTCCACTACACCAGTAAGAGAAAGTCAGCCAGTACGTGGTTGCAAATGAATTTGGCGTAAGATAGATGCAAGAGCAAATAACAAGGAGAACAGGTAACAAGTGTTGAGGTAAATATGCTTTCCTTTTCTTTTGCAGTTTTGGGCACACTCATCTGTAGAAACTGTGTGGATCCCTCTCTCTTGGTTAGTTTTATTTTGTTGGACATGCCTCATTATAAACTCAAGCCTTTAAGTTCTGAAATAGAGATTAGTTTCTGGAAGGTTGAAAATTTTTAGTCTAATTATAAGTGTGAAATCTGATGGCTTCTGATGTATGTATGGCACCAGATAAGATGTTGACTCATGTATAAATGATAAAATATGTATTTAGTAATTAACCATCTTTAAAGTGTTTCTTTGGAGTACTGAGGGGAAAATAAATCAGAAGGCATCCAACTAAACAGTTTGAGGATCTAATTTTGCATTCTTTAAAAGAACACTAAAGATTCATGAGTTGGAGATGAATGATGTAACATGTTTCAATAAACGATTTGTACTCCACTTCAGTAGAAGTTACTTTTCTACTTGATTGAAAATAGTCTTTATCATTTTCCCATCTTTAGAACTATTCTGGTTCAGGGATGTCTAGTCAGGTTTTCTGTACAGTAGTATACAGGTGTTGGCTTTGTGATAAAGGAATAATATTCCCTCCAGAAAGCTGTGTTCCTCTAAGTGCAAGGGAAGACCCTGTGTGTTCCTGTGTTAGTGGATGCACAGATACACATCTAGTTTGGGTGACCTTTCAAAATCCCCATATTCAGGATTTTTGTTCTCTCAGTTGACAAGTTTATTGTTGCAGTAACAAAACCTTTTGTCAAATTAGTGTTACCCCAAAAAAGCACAGTCACCCCTCCCTCCCCAGATCAGCTGCTTTATTCTAAATGACCCAGACTTCATTTTTTCTGTTCTATAGTAATTGAAGCATACACTGAGGGTTTAATGAGGCACAGGGCAAATGAATGGTCATGAAATTAATTTTGGTAATTAGGTAGGGCCTACTCTTTATGCAGCTGATAAACTAGTAATCAAATGTTCGTTTGCAGTTTGAACTGGTTTCCATATAAGATTGTTCCTTGAATAGATTATTTCTTATTTGAACTTCTATAAAATGAACATTATTCAGAATTATCAGTATATTCTTGTGCTAAGAAATCTTCTTAGCAGTAATTTGCTTTTGGAAGGCATGGGAGAATTTTCTGGAGACTTGAAAGAAGGTGGCTCTTTTCCAAATGGTCAGTTCTGAAGCAGAGGAAAAAGGTTATTTAATTTCTGTGTTCTTAGATACTGCTAAATATAGCTGCCAATGGAGGAATTTGGATTGAAGCTACTATGGGTTTTCTCATGTAGAGCCTGCACTCTTAGATAACTTTCTTCTTCTCCAAGAAAGAAGGCAGTGAGATGTGGAAATAGCTTTGGGGAGGGAGTGAAGCACAGTATTGGTGAGAAGTCTAGAGCTGGATCCCAGGGGTTCTGGAGTGAGTAGCTCTGCCCTCCCTGCCTGAATAACGTGTGCAGCCCTGGGACTGGATCACTCATGAACTGCGCCTTTAGTGTTGCAAGAAATCGGGCTTCATGCTTGGAACTTCTATCTTGGTCTGGCAGTGCTTGCTTTTTTGTATCAGTTCACTGTGCTCCTATCTGTTCTTTCTTCTGTTCTCAAAATTGGAACCCCTGAATTCCGTCTGTCCTACAGTTTTGTTTGTTTGTTTTCCTAAAGGTAGGAACCCTCTCTCGTCTGAAGTTGTATTGGAATTTGTCTCTTTCTCTGTGTGAGTTGGTTTTCCTCTTTAACTGTGCATGAATTTGTGTTTAAAAAAAAATATGAAGGCAATTTCTTAGTTTTCATTTGTAAATCATGGTCCAAAAAGATGGAAAGAAGATTTTGCAAGAAAGTCCTACCATAAAAAAAAATAAAAATAATGATTTCAGCTGTTTCATTTTGTTTTAGATTGTGATTTGGAGTCGTGGAGAATTCAGAGTCCGTCCACAATGGCAGAAAGGACAGATGGTACACAGTCACATCTTTCAGTGGCTGAATACAGCCCTGTCAATAAATCAGAAAGGACAGACCCAAGTGAAATGAAGCATGGAAGTGAAAATACTTTGCAACTGAAGAAAGAAATATCTTTGATAAATGGGATAAGCCTTATTGTGGGGAACATGATTGGTTCAGGTATCTTTGTCTCTCCCAAAGGAGTTCTCATCTACAGCAGATCTTATGGATTGTCTCTCGTAGTTTGGGCAATGGGGGGGATTTTTTCAGTCTTTGGAGCTCTCTGCTATGCTGAACTTGGAACCACTATTACGAAGTCAGGAGCCAGCTATGCATATATCTTGGAGTCCTTTGGGAGCTTCATTGCTTTTATTCGTTTGTGGACCTCACTCCTAATTGTTGAGCCAACCAGCCAAGCAATTATAGCCATCACCTTTGCTAACTACATAGTTCAGCCCTTCTTCCCTTCTTGTGATCCTCCATATTTGGCTTGTCGTCTCATAGCAGCTGCTTGTGAATGTAAGTATTGCTTGAAATTCACTATGGTCATTTTTTTATCTGTGATAAGTTTTATTAAAACAAGTCTTACCAAGTCTTAGAGTTGTTGCATATGAATAACTTGCAGGTGTTCAGTGAATTACCATTTTCTCATTTGGAGCAGAACAAGGGGTTTAACTCTTCCAACTTTACTTGCAAGGCAAAAATGGTGGGAAAAGTTGTTTTTCCTTGGGGGGGTATCTTAAATCAAATCTCAAGGTACTCCTGGTGTGGTCTAAGTTGTTGCAAAATGGCTCTTGACATGCTTCAGTAACTACTCTGCTAGGGTTTCAAACAATCATTCAAGATTATGCTTGTGATGAACCATAACATCAGTACTACAGTACCTGTTGTGTAGTTGTTTTGAGAAGTGGAGATATTGTGTGCACAGAAAACCTGTGTGCTACAGAACCAAAACTTGACAGTTCTCAGGAACTTTTACGTAGCTAAATGATAATGAAGTTGAAGAAACCATGAAAGAATAATTTCAGTAAAAGAAAGAGAGAGGAGATGTGGTTTATTAGGTTCTTGATTATCTATCTTTCTTTTTCTTTTTGAAGGTATCAGAGGCAGAGTAGCATTTCATCTGAAGTAGAGACCAAGCCCTAACTCACTAATAATAATTACTCCCAATGAAAGTTGCTTTAAAAGAAATGGCTGAAATAAACCTCGAGCAAATACTCTGATCAGTAAAACTGAGGAGCAGAGGCTGAGCAGTTGGTTGTTTTCCTGAGGGCTCTTTGGGAGCTGCAGCAGTCCTGGCTTTTGAAATTTGATACAACTGTTTTTTTCCCCTCATCTTGCCAAGCTCAGTGAACTCAATAGAATCTCATTCAACTATTCTGCTCGGCCCGACCGTCTAACATAGTAGTGCCGTGCTTTGGAGATCATTACCTTCTTTTTGTTGAACCTTCTGTTTGACCTTCTGAAAAGTCAAAGCTTTTCAATCTGGTAGCTGTGCTAAGCTCGTTTTTGTCTTAGCAGTATTACAGTATTCTTGGATTTGAGAAAGGAAATAATGTATCGCATCTTTTCATTTGATTTTTATTTGCTACTACCATACTCCTGCAACAATCCAATTTAGTTTCTATTTATATGCATATTTTAAATACACAGTATGAGAAAATTCTTTGGAGATAAAAACTGTGGTAGAATATAACCACTCTTTTTACTAGCTAGAGAAAATATGAGATTTGGGGGAAATATTGTTTCCAACACAGAAGTTTAAATAATGTAGTGATAATCTAAGAAAAATATGCACTGAATTAGGATTTTGTGAAATAAATACTGAAGATACTGAATCCTGTTCACTATTCAGCCCTTGAGTTAAGGCAGAGGTTGTCTGGCTCTCCACTTCAAAAAAACCAGTAAGAAATGCAAAAGCAAAATGTTGAAAGCCATGAGGACAGTCTTGGGGAAGTTGATCATGTGCGTAAGCTTAGTCAGCAACTCTAAAATATTGGTGAGATCTGAAAGTCTCATTTCAAGTTTCATTGCAATCTTGTGAAATAGGTCTGACTCTAAATTTATTTTGGAATAGAGGGAGGAGTATACTCAGAATACTCATTACTTACTCCCAGTTGTTAAAATTGCAGGTGACTGTTGCTTTAACTGTAAAGCACATGCTCTTTAGAACCACAGAATGGTTTGGGTTGGGAGGGCCCTTAACGCTCATCCAGTGCCACCCCCTGCCGTGGGCAGGGACACCTCCCACTAGACCAGGTCGCTCCAAGCCCCATCCAACCTGGCCTTGGACACTTCCAGGGATGGGGCAGCCACAGCTTCTCTGGGCAATCTGTGCCAGGGCCTCCCCACCCTCCCAGGGAACAATTTCTTCCTGATACCTAATCTAATCTAATCTACCTTCCTTCCGGTTAAAGATGTTACCCCCTTGTCCTATCAGTGCATGTCCTTGAAAATTCCTTGATCAGGTCTGTTCTCTCTTTGAAGTACAGTTCAAGAGAACTGGAAAGGGATATTGAATCACCTGTGACTATACCTGGTATTGCAGCTACTCCATGGGTGTTGAACTCATCCTCAGCCTAGCAAGGAAGGATAAAAAAACTTTTCAAACACACTTGCCTGAAGGAATTTCTAACTAATCTTTCATTTATCAGAACAGTATTGATACATTGAATTCAATTATTTCATGTAACAGTTTCTTTAATTTCAGGATAGTTGCAGAGTGCAGCTGATGAGGAGTAACAGTAGGAAAATGGGCATGTAATCAGAGAAGGGAAAGGTCTTTCCTTCCATCTTTTGAAACAGTGTGTTCAGAACTGTTTCTCGCTGTTTTGTTTGAACCAGTGTGTTTTCAGTATTAGTGTATTTGGCTTAGTTGAACCTAAGTAATTGTATAACAGGTAAGTGTGTATTTAGATTGCAATTAAAATCTTTGAAAAATGAATTAAACTGAACATTGTTCAAATGGTCTTTTTATTTGTCTTCTTTTTTCCTCTTCTAGGTCTTTTAACATTTATAAACTGTGCCTATGTTAAATGGGGAACACGTGTGCAGGATGTATTTACTTACGCCAAAGTTATTGCTCTCATTGCCATCATCATAGCTGGAGTTGTTAAAATATGCCAGGGTAAGCTTGTAAAATTAAAGCAAAGGTTTGTATTTATCAGTTAAACTGAGTAACTGGTCTAAGGACTGCAAACTGTGCTTTATGAGATGCCTCAGTACAAGGATGATATAGGCACTTGGAAAACACCAGTAACACCACTGTTAGGCATTATCATGATGCTATATCGGGAGATATCCAGCCTATCTCAGTTGACTTTGAACGGGGTAAGAAAAGGTATCTGATGGCTCAGCGATACTGTGTACTTTACAGCCTGCAGTATGGAATAATAAAGGAAATTAAACAGCCAAATACAGGGGCAGCAAAACACAATGGGAGTGGAGAAAGTTGTAAATTCCTGTCAAGAACATATTACTTTACAGAGAGATCAACTGAATATATTTTTTTACAAAATGAATTTTGTGCAAGTCTCGAAGTGTCTGAAATTAAAGCAAAAATAGAATATGTAGGTAGATTTCTGAAACAACAGCTCTGTTTTTGCTCAGAGCCTGAGTTCTATTTTAGCTATTGAGAATTAGCGTGTGTGTGTGTGTGTGTGTTGGGCATTGGACTTTAAGTTAGAGAAATTCTGAATTCAGTTTTGTTCTTAGCCCTTCCTTTGGGGAGAATGTGTTGGTGTGTTAGCTTAAAAAAATGACCCTGCTGCCATAAAGGCTTGTCTTTCCCTGGCAGTCTGGCAGTTTATGTCTTTTGCTCTAACTGGTGGTTGTTGAAAGTTCATGAGCAAAGTAATTATTGTGAATGGGACAAGAATATGCAGTGTGTGAGCACCATGTGAAGTGTTTCATCCTTAGCACATCAGCCCAGCCCTTGTTTTGTAGATACCGAGCTTGTTCTCAACTTCCTTCATGTCTCCCATCTCTATTTCTGACTCAGCAGTTACTGTGCCAATGTCTGTGCCAAGGGAATAGCAACCCAGTATCTGATTGGGATAAAAAGCCAAGGGAATAGCAACCCAATACCTGATTGGGATAAAAAGTAGGGAAGAGAAGTAAAGATATTTGAGAGGCCACAAATATTAGCTTACACAGTAATTCACCTTTCTGTGTTTGCTGGGTTTGTGTGTGTCTGTTTATGTAAAACAGTCTGAATGTATAAACTGTCAGTGATGAACTTGTCTTGGGTTGCTTAAAGTCAAAAGATGGCACAAATACTGGTGCAAAAACCATAACTTTTTCTCTTAGCTTGGGAAAATTTTGTCTCAAGTAACAGAAGTATTTTAAGTTCTGTTAATTTTTCTCAGTATTCGACTTTTAATAGCAAAAACTTAAACATCCACTTAGGTGTTATTTGTCATAGTTATCTAAAAACACCTGTAATCTTTGTTTTCTGCATAGGCGAAATGTTTAAAAATTTAAAAGGATATAGAAGAGTGGATTATTTTATAAATATTTATGTTACAAAAACTAACCTTAGCCTGAGTACTGTCGTTGCCACTTGTTTGTAGCTTAGTCTGAACTTAATGTTCCTGAACTTATTGTGCCATCGTGGACAAACCAGGTGTTTCACTGTAGAATGCTATCATCCACACCCCATGATTTTTAGTAGTTTTAAATCCTTGTTTTTGTGGCTAAAGCATAGAGAAGAATTGGAAAAAAGGTCTTAATAAACAGATTTGAAGGAATTAAGGTTTCTGAGGTTTTTTTGTGTGACAAATTGAAAAACGTTATTTGCTGTGTTTTAATTATGCTGTCCTTCTTTGCATCTCTTCCACACACAGGGCATACATCACACTTTGAGAACTCTTTTGAGGGATCCTCTTTTAATATTGGAGACATCTCCCTTGCACTGTATTCTGCCTTGTTCTCTTACTCTGGTTGGGATACGCTCAATTTTGTAACAGAAGAAATCAAAAACCCAGAAAGGTAAATTGATTCAAGCTTTTAAAAACTGGATAGTTCCCAAGTTGCTTTGTTTGTGGTGTTATTTAGTAATGGGTTCTGAGCTTATACAGAGATAAGCAGAACTGCTCGATACTTAGATGGTGAGGCTGTGAACAGCCACTAACAAAGATTTACTAAACTCTGTTAAAAATGGGAAAGAAAGAACAAGGTAGGAATAACCACGTCTAGATGACTGCTGGATGCTGTATTCAGTGCCTGTTAAGCTTTCAGTTCAAGATGTTGCTACTGTTTATTATAGTAGGAGTCAATATTGCAGTGAAACAGGTACCTAATTGTTATCTGTGCTCTGTTTATCAGTGTGACATTCTGATTGTCTCACAGGGTGTTCAGGTGATAAAAATTTATTCATAATCTTTTGCTCTGTGTAGACTTCAGTGTCTAATACAAGCTTTGTTCTTGGTAGAATTGTAGCTGTTAAAGTGAACTTCCAGTGTCAGCTTTCTGCATCGCAGTTCTGGGCAATAATGAGGTTCAATTCCAGACTTCTGTAAAATTACTGCAACAATTATGTATTTTTCAATTTCACTTGATTCATAGTGCCCTCATGCTTGTCCACTGAAAAGTTGCCATCCACAAGTTAAATTTGACATAGATGCTTAGTTTTTAATCTCGGATGATGCAAAGTCCTTAAAATACCATTTCGGCTTTTTGTTACTTTATGTAACATTTCCGAATTAATTTCTCAGTGGTTTTCTAGTTCTGTTTCTTCTCTGTGCTGAGGTTCATGGGTCTCTTACTGTGAGTGAGCAACCCGGAAGCAGAGTCAGAACTCCCAGTTACTAATTTATTGATTTATATGGGGATTGTGGTGCATGTTTGTTTTTCTACTTCCACAGCATCACAGAGACACAGCTGGACTTCTGGGCCTCAGGAAGTTTTTGAGGAAGCTTTCAAAGTTTTAGGCAGACTGATAATTTTTATGCTTTGTTGGGGTTTTGTTGTTTTTGTTGTTGCTACTGAAAACAATGCTCGCGGCAGATGCTCACTGATGTCACCATGCTGTGTTTGATTTCACACTGGGCAAATGTGAGAGTTCTGCTCTCAGAACACTCTCTGTTCTACTTCCCTTTTGGAAGCATTTGAATATCCCTGCGAGGTTTGAGGCGAGACTAAGGCTGAGAAAAGCCAAAGCTTAACATCAAAGATTTGCTTTTGCTCTCTAGTTTCTTTCTGTGGAGCTGCAGACTCAGGACTGTGAGTTTATCTCACAATTAAATCTTATCTGTTTACATCTAATGGTTAGCAGTGCTTTCTTGTTACTCTTGACTTTTTTTTGTATTGTTTTGTAGACATGTGCTTGCTAGTAAGATACACCACATCCTGAGTTCCCAGCTGTGTAGCACTTTTGGATCTGCACCTCTGTTTTCTGCAGTTTTGCAGCCATTGGTTTGTAATCTCTGCATGGTGAGGGCAGATGGGAAGATGAGGGGTTTGGTTTGGTTTAGTGGATCTCCCTCCATCAGCTCTAGAAGTAGGTAGTAGAAGGATAGCTGCATTTCCCAGGGAGAAGGAGTGCAGTGTCTCAGTGCTGTCCCTCTTTGGGTTCTGGTTGTATTAGTTAACGTGGCCAGTAGGAAATAATTTAAAGCATGTGAACGTGAAGGCTACTATTACAGATCTGGAAACCTTGAACTTGGGGTATTTGAAGAACAGTTGCATAGAATCAGGTTTTACATGTAATTTAGGCTTTAGGATATTGTAAAAATTAGATTTTTTTTCCAGCATTTTGTGTTAGAATTTCTAGTTTTAAAAGAAACCAAATCCTGGTTGCAGAGATTGAAATCTGTATTCTGGCTCCATAAAGGAGCCATAATTCTGTCTTTTGTAAAGGATATAAATAAATTTAGTTTATTCTGTTATTAACGGATTTTTTTTCTGCTCTTGTGGGGTTTGGGTTTTTTTTGTCTTCCAGGAACTTACCACTGGCTATTGCAGTGTCTATGCCAGTTGTGACTATTATCTATATTATGACCAATATAGCTTACTATACAGTGCTGGATGCTCAAGCTGTTCTTTCTAGTGATGCCGTGGCAGTGGTAAGTTGACCATGTGGCATTTTGCTGTTTTATTAACTTTGCACCTTTTAGGGATGCATTTCATTTTAAGGGGCAAAACAGAAAACCCCCCTAGTTTATTATAGTACTTACTTAACTGAATAGAGGAGGACAGAACAACACATTGTGAATAATTTAATCCAAAGTAGAAAAGCAGTTAATGAAGTCGTGTCTAATAATGTATTGTCAGATTTATTAAAACAAGCAGAGATGCATCCTGTTACTGTATTTTGCCAAGTCCCTAATTAGACTGGTGCCCTTTGAGCAGGTTGTGAATTAGGAGTCACTGATTGTCTGGCGTGCTCCCTCCCGCCGCAGTCACTGGGGAGCTACCGGTGCAGTGCCTGCCTGTAAATGGGGTGCCAGCCCAGCTGGGACACAGAGCAGCTTGGGGTCTCCTCTTGGTAACTTACAGCACTGTCTGCCCGACACTGTGGTTATTTCCAACAGCTTTTAATATTCTGAAATTCATTTCTGTATATGGAAGGAAGTTGGAATCCCATTAAAATATATAAGCTTCTGAAAGTAAAAGCTGATCAAAATGTGTTTCGTATTTAAGCTAATCATTAAACAAAAGTGAAGGTTGTTTTTTTTCCCTGTAACTAGTGAATTAACTGAATAGTCCTGGTTACTATATCCTTTAAGGTTGAGGCTTGGGAAAATTTAATCTTTTTGGTTATTTAAATTGGAGGAAAAGAAATAATACCATACCTTCCTTTTAGGTTCCTAATTGGCTTCTAAAATTTAAGTAGTTAGACAATGGACAGAGAGTTTTAAATACATCAAAATGAAGGAAGTATTTACTCTGTTCCCACAGAGGATTACTGTGATTAAAAACTGGCTTAGCAAACCAGGAAACTCTTGTTTAAGGCATTTAGGCAGATGGTTCCACAAAAGCACTTACCTGACTTTATTTCAAACTTCACAAATACTTATATTTAGTGTGAACTTTCAAAATAGTTTATTGTAAATGTGGGTTGGGACTTTATTTCAAATGTAATTAGACAAACATTTATTTCAGAATGTATTGAAAGTAAATAAACTTTACTTCTTTACATCTTTTTAGCTGAAATGTGCAAATACAAATTTGTCATGAAATGTATATGAAAGACTTCCTGAAACACTTCAGAATGAAACAAAAGAAGGACAGAAAATATTTATTTTTGAATAAGCATATGCTAAGGGGTAATAAAATATCCAGGAGTATTCATTTTTGTTGCAGGCTATAGTATCCCATGTCAAGTACCTTCCAGTGACCAATAATGGAATTATTAATTTTTGTCTATAGTTAATTAATCCAGACAAATCTAAAAGCCAATACACAGTCCACTGTGTGTCCTGACTTCTGTAGAGCAACACAGGTTTTTTTCCTAACAAAACTTGAAAAACTTTGCCAGCAATGAAATTCTCCAGTGCAGTCCAGCCTGTCACTTGGGAGTGTTCTGTGCCTGCTGTGCCCCTTGTCATCACAGAGGTTTGTACAGCCCCGTGGAGAATGGGATCAGGAGCACTGAGCCCCCCTGGGAGGCTGGGGGAAGGATTCCCTGTGGGCCTGCCCAGTCCGTGTTCCTGAACACACCAAGTGGTGCAGCAGCAATTGGTGGCCAGAGAAATGAGGGGGGAGGAATGCCTGAATCTGACTGCACATGTGAAACCCAGGCCTACATTTTACAGGTTTATATATGCTTCATTTAGTTGTTCTTTGACACTGTTTTTTTTACCAAAAGTGAGTATATATTTATACATTTATGTCTATACACCTCTGTGTGATTTTACATGGAACTGTAATACTCAGAACTGGACAGATTAGGCCTTCCTGTCTAGTATAGGATGCATCTGGGCATGGAGGAGAATAAAGAAAGACATAAGAATGATATGAAGTCCTTAGTCAATCTAATTGCATGCAGAGATATTAAGTGACCAGGATAAGAATGAGAAAATATGTTTGTGCATTCTAAAGTTGTTTTAGAAGTTTTGCTTCTTGGGCTAATTTTAATGGAACTTAACTGAATGAACGACTTTGGAAATGTAGAACCGTAATTTTTCACTAGATCTCAGGTTTGTCAATACTTGAACTAAAAGCCAGGCTAATGCTCTATCTAAAGGCATCTTTGCTGAGACATCATAGCAGCAATGGTCTTCTGATTGCTGCTGCCTCTATCCCTTCTAGAAGGATCAGTTGAAAGTGCAGCTGAAGTTTAATAATACTTAACAGTTAATTCACTGACGATTCCTTTTCGTTGCTGATATAAATTCAGTTGCCCAGTTTTATGAAATCAACTTTAGGTTTGATCTACTGTAACAATGGCAAGCTGTTTGGACCTCTGGAAGGATGTCTGTGGAGTGGAAGAGTTGACCCTGAGGGTCTGACACATGCACTACGCCTCTGATGGGGTCTGGGCTGAATGCTTGTGTGTGCTTGGATTGCAGTGGGGGTACAGCAGGTTTGCTCTTGAGCTCATCTTCAATTTAGCCTGTTCCAGAAGGGAACCTCCCTTTAGCTCTGATGTTAAACAATGGGAACCAAAAAGCAGTAAGTGTCCATAATTTGGAGAATGCTTCAAAAGTGTACTTGCAGTCCAAATTCAAATACTCATAATGCACTCATAGTTTTTAGTGAATTTGTGGGGAATAAAAGCTAATGAGTGTATTTGAAAATCCTTCTATTAATACAAAAATGTAAAAATCTTTATGGTGAAATTTCTCTGGGTAGTGGAAGAGAATTTTATCCTCAGTGGAATCTTTAAGAAGACTTAAGGCACCGTGCTTAGTGGATGAATGAAGAAAGGAGGTGAGAATTAAGCTATTCAAAAAACTTAGTCTGATGAAAATGAGCCACTTTGATCTACTCACATATTCTACATGTGATACAGAATACCGAATACTGTAGTTTCCATATTGCCCTTTATGTAATTGTAGGGTGAAAATGACAATAATGAATTTTTAAAGAAACGTGGTAGTGATATTTCTGCATTTGAGAGTCTTTGTGTAGTAAAGCAGCAGTTAAATTTAATCTTGTTGCTCTTTTGGGAAGGAATGGAGTAGCTTTCTCCTTTTCAGGCAAGAGGCTTTGAGCCTCTCTCATGTCAAGTCACTTCCCTTTTCAAGTATTTCTGTCAGAGTTTCACACTTGACTTCTGATTTACCTCCTTGTGCAAACCATCACAACCTTTACATGCTTTAGAGCATGAAGCAGTTATTCTGTAGCACAAACACAAATAAATAATAGCAGACATCTCACCTTCCCCTGTCACTAAACAACTTTTTTTCATTTGAGAATGCTATGGTATTCTTTGTTTGTGAAGGGGGCATCTGGTTCCACAAGCACTTCATCATCTAATAGGAAAGAACACAGTGGCTGCCAGTGCCTCTCTTGTTACCTGCTTCCTGTCTTGGGCATGTCTGGGGGTTTTGATTGAGTTCACACAGGAGGTGACACTGGGCAGGTTAGTCCTTCCACCTAGAAGAGCTAGAAGTGGTTGAAGCAAACGGTTGTCCTGCATAGCCGGTTGATGTTTTGTGGAGCAGTACAGCTTTGTCACCAAGCTGGGGATAAAGAGGAGGGTTTCAGTGCATCTTCACATATCATCTCACGAGTCAGCATTGAGCAATCCAATTTACCTTGGTGTTCTCGTATTCCAGAGCACACCTGCTCCCTCAATGAACTGCACTGGGGGAGGTGGTGTGTTTTAGCTGTTTGGTTCTGCTTTGGTGTGTAGTTGAATAAATGATGAGTCTCTCTTTTCTAACTGAATTCAGATAGAATTTTTTAAGTTATTCTTACACCTTTTGGATATTACTTCACTTCTTTCATTTGGCCAGTCACTGGCTTCTTTTCTGATGAGGAAAATCTGCTTGTCTTTAGCTGTCAGTGTCATGTTCCTCTGCTTTGCTTGCACTGGAACTTCCCAGTAAGGTTTCTTTGGATGAAATGCACATTCCCTCCCTTAAGATTGAGGAACTCTTCATTAGGGGCAGGCAGGTGCTTTTAAAGAAGAGCTGTTTAGTAAGTCATTTGCCTGCTTTCTTGGAGCCAGCTGTAATTCAGTACCAGTGTGGCACTCCTGAGGCCAGTTATATGTGGTTCTCTGGCTTTGGAGTCCAAGCTGAAAAGCTGAGCCAGAGCTTGAAATAGTGCTACGTAATATTTTCAATGTGAGAAAGGTAAAGGACTTTGAAAAACACTAAACTCTTATTCTACAGCTAGATATTGGAAATGCCGAGAACAGGACAAATCCCTGAGAAAATTTAGATCAAGTATCCTCAGCACCTCCATGAAAACATGAACAAAACTGTTTTACTGTTGGAGCTGACATCTGTTCTCTTAGTGTGAGCCATGCAGAAAAGACATGTTACGTGCAGTAGACCTGCAATATATTAATGCAGCACAGTAATGCTGGTTTCTCTTACCATAAGATTGTATTCAGTGACCTAAAGATGAGGAGGGAATTCCATGCTGGACCTTACACTGCACTGGGTACCTTTTTCTCCTAGGAAAGGCATTGCCAATAGTACAAGGAGAGGATTATGTCTGTTTGAGCAAAATTGATCAACAGCGTGGTGGTTGAAACAAGAATTACAAGAAAAACAACACTTAAATTGCTTTCTTTTGGAGCTTTACAATTTTCTGACTGTTTTTGGTTGATGTGCACTCTTTCCTTTCTTTAGTATATGATGTTTCATTTGGTCAAGATGGAGAGATGTCATACAGTATCTTGATAATGTAGTCTGTGGCAGTGGGAGAACTTCACCTACTCAGTGGCTTTTTTTGCATGGACAGCTTCCTGATTGCCTTAAATCAGAGTTTGTTTCCTTTAGGAAACACCACCTTAGAGGCCTGAGAAGCTTAAAACGGAGAAAACATACTGTAGCTCTGACTGACAAACCTTCCTGGAGTGTGTGAATGTATTTATACTCCACCTCAAGAGAAATGTCAAAGCAGAATTAATTACACTTCCAAAATACCAGTCAGATTGCGCTTA